CTCCACCTGTCTCTGTCTCCACCTGTCTCTCCACCTGTCTCTGCCTCCACCTGTCTCTGCCTCCACCTGTCTCTGTCTCCACCTGTCTCTCCACCTGTCTCTGCCTCCACCTGTCTCTGCCTCCACCTGTCTCTGTCTCCACCTGTCTCTCCACCTGTCTCTGTCTCCACCTGTCTCTGCCTCCACCTGTCTCCACCTGTCTCTGTCTCCACCTGTCTCTGTCTCCACCTGTCTCTGTCTCTCCCTCCACCTGTCTCCACCTGTCTCTGTCTCCACCTGTCTCTGCCTCCACCTGTCTCTGTCTCTCCCTCCACCTGTCTCTGTCTCCACCTGTCTCTCCACCTGTCTCTGTCTCCACCTGTCTCTCCACCTGTCTCTGCCTCCACCTGTCTCTGCCTCCACCTGTCTCTGTCTCCACCTGTCTCTCCACCTGTCTCTGTCTCCACCTGTCTCTGCCTCCACCTGTCTCTGTCTGCACCTGTCTCTCCCTCCACCCGTCTCTGTCTCTGTCTCTGCCTCCACCTGTCTGTCAGGTATCGGGGGGTTCATGGTGCGGCAGCGTGGAGGGAGAGCTGGTCCGAGCAGAATTAAACTGTGCAGGAAAGATTCATCAGAGATGCTGCCGGGTCGAGACGAAGGTGAGACAGACCTCACCTGTCCCTGTCACCAGTGAACACTCCACCATGATTATTATTATGGGCTGTCACATACAAGGCCTTTTGTTGGCAGAGGTTTCCATGGAGACGGTGCCCCCTGCCGACCAGACGACGGAGAAGGTGAAGAAGAGGTACAGGAAGAAGAAGACGAAGCTGGAGGAGGAGTTCCCTTCCTATCTCCAGGTAAAACACACACACACACACACACACAGCACGCTCAGTAGATCCCAGCTTTCTGATTGGCTCGCTCTTCCTGTCCAGGAGGCGTTTTTTGGTCGGGATCTTCTGGACCGAAGCCGACAGGTGGACAGAAAGCCAGGGCCAGAGAGACCAGGTGCCAGCCAATCAGGAGCCGCGACAGGTGACGTGAAAGGCCGCGCCCCCTCACGCCTGCCACTCGGCGCCATGGCAACCAATGCCATCAAGAAGCAGGGAACACTGCGTGAGTTTTTTCTATATTTCCCATTTCCTAAATCATTTTCACGGCGCTTCATATTTCATTTGTGTTTGACTTACACTGTGTGTGTGCATGTGTGTTATCATGGTGTGTGTGTGTGTGTGTGTATGTGACCATCCAGCCATGTCGGAGGACGCTCTGTTGGATCTGTCTGATGTTCTCAACACTGATCCTCACATACTGGCCACAGGACACACAGGTACACACACACACACAAACACACACACACACACACACACACACACACAGAGCGAGCTGACTGGTTACCATTACCCACCCACCATCCCTTCACCAGTGTGTGTTCTCAGAGACAGTTTGTCTTTATTGAGACAACACCCTCCACAGAGGGAGCAGCGTCACCGCAGTGACACCAACGAAGAAGAGTGTTGTGTCTGACAGGCTGCTGCAGCCGTCAGCACGTCCTCTGTTCACAGGATAATTGTGTGTAATTGTTTTCAGGTCAGAGTCAGGTGGAGCACTCCCTCTCTCCGTTTGGTAAGACTCCACAGGAAGTCCTCCTCCTCCTCCTCCTCCTCCTCCTCCTTGTTCTGATGCTGTGTTCACACTACTAGCGTGGCAGCAACAGGCTACGAGTCATATCCAGTGAAGCTACAAACTGTTGCCCGACTCTTTTCGCTGCGGACGAGTGCAGCGAGCTACAAATCACAGCTGGCCTCAACTTTTTCAGCGCTTCAAAGACACAGTGAAGTGTCAGCCAATCATATGTGTTTGTTTCTAGCGTTGGTTCCGTGTTATTTAGCCTCGTTAGCTGGCGCTATGCTAGCTTTGTATCCCTTGTGGTGCACACGGAATGACGTTACGGTCCACCTCTACCAACACTGATATTTTCCTTATTGTGATGTCATTTTCTGGAGTCTCTTCACATGCTTCATTTCCCTCAAATCTGTACAAGCTGAGCTAAAAGCTTATGAAAGTCAATAGTTCATAATCATTGATTAAAGTATTAAAATAATAGAAAACTCTGGCATTTTGTGTCCGTCAGATTTTACAAAATAAAAACATGTTGATCCAAAAGAAAACAAAATATTTAACGTTCCGTAAGTTAACTGAAGTTCGTACATTATTTAGATTTTGAGAGTGAGAGTGACTACATGTAACGTACTGCAGTGACATCACGGTGAGCGTACAGCATGATGTCACAGAGGACAGAAGCCTGGCGTTCTGCTGCTAACAGACTGTCACAGTTGTTGTGGTTCATATTTTAGAACCATTTAAACAGGTTGATTGAAACAACGATCTCCTGCAGCCGTCCACAGGAGGTCTGTTCTGTGGGGGTTAAAATGGGGCTCAGACGTTGATCACAGGTATAGATATTACGGCTGACCAGATTAACGCTTAAGATGGCGTTCAGTTGAGGTGCTTTGTGGCAGGTAGCAGACACACAAGACCGTGATGACGTAACCATGTTAATGAGGGCTTCAGCAACACTTCAGCGGCAACTCGGTGGTAATGAAGCCGGTCACGCTTTTGGGTTGTTGCTCATAGTGTGAACACAGCATGTAGTACTGTGAATGAGACTCTTCTTCTTCTTCTTCTTCTTCTTCTTCTTCTTCTTCTTCTTCTCCTGCAGATAACACCGACTGCTGCTTCTTCTTCTTCTTCTTCTACTCCTGCAGCTTCCTGTTCGCCACTTGTCTGTCTGTCTCTTCTTTAGTTCAGGTCATCATTTAATCTGTCTGTCTCTCTCCCTGTCTGTCTCTCAGCCGGTCTTGACATCAGCTCCATGGCGGACGACCTGACAGGAAGTGGTGGGCGTGGCCAGAGGGTGGTGCAGGAGGAACCTCTGGACGCCATATTGAGTCCTGAGCTTGACAAGATGGTCACTGACGGTGAGTTTAGATTTTAAAGTCTGTCCATCCCTGCCCTCCTGGACCACTGGGCCGGTGAGGCGTGTGTTTTTGTCTGTGCAGGGCTCCAGACTGTCACTATTTGGTTAATTTTTGCGACCATGGAGCACCAGTGTAACTTCAAATATTTTTGATATAAACACTGGAGATCTGTTAGCTAGTGTCCTGCTCACAGTGAATAACGATGCCGCTGTAACAGTGAAACGTAACGCTAACTGTTGACCAGAGGTTCTGCTTTGATTTGTTTTATTATAACAGTACTTTATTTGGCTCTGTTATGTAACAGTAACAACTGTATTTAACGTCATGGTAACTTTAGTTCATTCAGTATTTGAGTAGTGGACAGTAGTCTAGAGGAGATTTGTAGGTGCTACTTGTAGGTGTTGTGATATTATCTGTAGACTGCCCAGCCTTAGTTTGACACTATAAACTGTGACTCATCAGAAATATGTTTTTCTCCAGGTGCCATCCTCAGCAAACTGTACAAGATCCCAGGTGAGACTCACTCAGGACACATTATCACTGCTGTGTGACAACGGACTCCCCTTTATCCCTGATGTCAAACCTTCCTCCATGTTTACCAGCTGTCTTCATCACTGCAACTACAGTCTCTGTCCAGTGTGCAACACGTTCAGCTGATCTTTCACATTAAAAGTCTCCCAGCCTGCCTGTTATTGGTTGGCTTTTAATGTGAAAACTCTGCAGCTTCACATGGATGACGACTGTAGAACCTGATTGGTTGTACTGAGTTAGTGTGTGTGAGCAGCTCAGAGTGTTCATGCTGCATCTGTCAGTATTTAGCAGCTGGTTATTCAGATGTGACAGATCTCAGATCAGCCTGTCAGAGAGATGGAGATGATGTTAATGAGTGTGTGTGTGTGTGTGTGTGTGTGTGTGTGCGTGCGCACGCAGAGCTGGAGGGGAAAGATGTGGAGGAGGTGTTCACTGCTGTTCTCAGTCCAAGCAGCAGCAACAACCAACAGCCAGAGCAGAGCCAACAAACACACACTGCTGCTGCGAGCAAGACACACACACACAATGCAGGTATACACACAGACACACACACACAGACACACACACAAACCATTACAAGACACGCTCGTGTTGAGTTAAGCAGCTGTAAAACTTTAATTTCCTAGAAATTCCTCACAATACACGTCTCACACATGTTTTGTTATTTAATAGCTTTTACTGTGAAGCAGCCAAAACAGGAAGTGTTGGGTTTTCATGTGCAGTGACTGAACAGGAATCTACACCATCTGAAAGCAAACAGGAAACGGTGAAACAAGGCAGATGTCTGAACACAGGAGGGAAACTGAACTTCACACCACAGAGATTCAACTCAAAGCTACAAAAGTTCTGAACACACAGACTTTGCTCTCTTTGCTGCTGCACATGTAGACGTGTACCTAGACGCCACGTTGACTGCATGATCCCACTGCAGCAATACACCAGCAGTGCTGCCATATTGGCGAGGTCAGACATGCCTGTAAACAAATTCAAGTAAACAGGGGAGCTGCAGTTTCTATGTGTAGGATTTAACCTCTTGTACTCCACCCCCATTTTGTAGCGAAAACGCCTAAAATGACATACCCAAATTAAAATGACTGTAGCTTCTGAACCGCTCTGACTACATGCATGCATGAGGTCTTGCCAGAAGGAAACTCTCTGAAGTTTATTGTGAAAGTGTCAGAAACACTCTAGGTGATACAGAGACAGAGTAATGGGCCTCTGAAGTCAGTACAAAATTGAAGATATTGCTTAAAATAAAATAAAAGATGTGTTTCAGGATGAATAACTGTCTGAGGCTTCATCTGAGCAGGTAAATGACACTGTGGGGCTGTAGGCACACTATCAATGTTGCTGCTATATTATGAGATTGAGATATTTCTGGGGACAAGAGTTGAGAAAAGTTGAACATTTTCTACAAAAAAAAGTTGAAATATTCCAAGAAAAGAAATGTCAAAATGTTTCAGAGCGAAACAAGAATAAAAGTTTTCATGCATCAAGACAAAAATAAAGTCACAATATTTTGTGGAAAAAGATCGAGTGATGTTGAATACGAGAAAAAAGTTGTAACATTTCAAGAAAAAAAAGTCGAGTATATTTTTGTAATATTTCATGAAAAAATGTGAATAATGTTAAAACATTGTAGAGAAAAGAGTTGATAAATTTTTAAGACAACCAAGTTCTAATATTCCAAGAAAAAATAAGGCGGGTAACGTCGAACAGAAGTTGTAGTAGTTCAAGGAAAAATGTCTTTATATATTAAGTCGTGTTTTGAGGAAAAAAAGACAAAGTTCAGGTATTTAAGGATAATACATTTTGGAAAAGAAAAAAAATTCAAAAAAATTTTTAGAGAAAAAAGTTTTAATATTTCAAGAAAAAATGTAAATCAGCTGCTGTGTGTGTTTCTCTGAGGATAATTCAGCTCCTCAACAATCAACAGTGAAGGAATTCTAATCAGGAGAAGTTTCAGCTGGTTGTAATCTGTAATCTGTAATCTGTAATCCTCACTGATAGACACCTGAATCCTCCTGAACCTGACACACTGAACCTTTAAATCATTAATCTGACCTGCAAGATTTCTTATTTTCACCCAGAACCGACACTGGAAACAAAACCCAGATAAATTACCACCTGCCAGTCACCTGCGATCAATAAACAGATCTGATCTCATTGATTGATTTTCAGTCAGTGTGTTTAAGACGAGGAGACGAGTCGTGTGTGACTGAGACAAACTGAAGCAGCAGAAGTGAAGAGATGAAAGATTGTCATCACAGACTGATCATTAAATCTGCGTCTCTCAGCAGCCACCGTGTTTCCTCGTCTTCCGCTGATGAACGGCCTGATGGGAGCTGCTCCTCACTTTCCTAACACTCCCATGATGCCCAGCGGCACCCAGAGTCCTGCAGGCTTCAGGATGCCCCCTCCTGAGAGCCCCACCCCTGCTCCGCTGCAAGGCACCGCCCTGGGGTTGGGCTCAGCCAATCGGGCGCCAGCGGGAGAGGGCGAGCAGGACGTGATGTCGACAGCTCAGAGGGGCATGTTGAAGTGGGAGAAAGAAGAAACTCTGGGAGAGATGGCCACGGTTGCTCCTGTCCTCTACTGTAACACCAACTTCCCCCAGCTGAGAGAGCAGTACCCTGGTACACACACACACACACACACACATACGGTGTGGTCATGAAGCTTCTCAGAAGGTGTTTCTGGAACAATATAAGAATATTCATGATAATAACACAGCAGTTTGAAGAGTCAGCTACTTAACTGTGTGTGTGTGTGTGTGTGTGTGTGTGTGTGTGTGTGTGTGTGTGTCAGACTGGTCCACCAGAGTGAAGCAGATCGCCAAGCTGTGGAGGAAGGCCAGCTCTCAGGACAGAGCTCCATTCGTGGTGAGTTTGCTGCAGCTGTTAGGTGATGTCACAGAGCGACGCAGTGAATTTAAGGTGCCAGTCGTCCGACCTTTGCCCTCCGGAGGGCTGACAAATAAATGACACGAAAATGCAAAATACTCAACTGCAGATATTTCACATCAAATCCAGGGATGCACAACATTTATTAGGCCGATAAACAATAGGGTATCTTATCAGAATCAGCCATGACAAGCAGGTGAGTATCGCCATCAGATCAGCGGTTCGATGCCCGGCTCCTCCAGCTGCATGTCGAGGTATCATCGGGCAAGATACTGAACCCTAAACTGCTCCTGATGGCTGTTCCATCAGTGTGTGCGTGCATGTGCGTGCGAATGTTTACCTAAGTAGCAGGTGGCGCCTTGAACGGTAGCCTCAGTCACCAGTGTGTGAATGTGTGTGTGAAAGGGTGAATGTGACGTAATGTTAGAGCCCTTTCAGTGGTTGGAGGACCAGAAAGGCGCCGTACAACAAGAAGTCCATTTACTGTTCTGGTCATTCTGTGTTCGCTCTTTGAATATGATACGATCTGGTACATATGTCAATATATTTTAAAGCAACATACAAATTTAGACAAAACCATTTGTATCAATACAGGGTCAAGTTGCATCACATAACGCATACGTGTGCTCAGCCCTCCACCCCCTCACTCACTCACAGGTTCTCCATCAACACTCAGAGACACAGAGTTGCTCCTCTGTTTAATCTGTCTGTTCATTAGTCGACAGTGAGACATCGGTCTATATGTTGGACAAGCTACGCTACATCAACATCAGTCTGTGAGATGAACGAAGTTACCGCAGTAGCACACGCACAGTACTGTGGGCCTTTTCCTCTGGAACTTTAATTGTGTCCAGTCAAGCCATGCTGCGCCCATTTATGTTTCTGTTATCAGTTTAGACACCCGGTGCCACGCCAAGCTGCACACCTACTCCTTCTCTGGTGCAGGTCCAAAACCTGGGCCTCCCGCAAACAGGTAGCAGTGGCGTCTAGCCAACCACAGCTAACACCTACCCACCCCGTTTCTCCCCCTCAAACATGGCGTGTGTGATGTGAGACTCTTCTCCCCTCTGTCTGCAGGAGACGGGAATTAAAATTATAATAAAGTTTCTTATATTATTACAGAATTAGCAAAACTTTATTAACGGCTTTTCTTCAAGTAAAATAAGTCTAATGATATGGCAGGGAGGAAGAGTGAAATCAGAAAGAGCCACAGTGACATGATGATGATGAAGAGGTGCAGACAAACAGCTCACCTCCAACAGCTAAACGTCTTTTACCTGCTCTGCCATGGAAAAACACATGCAGCAAATTTAACAGGGGACTTCAGCCGTGGATCAGCCTGCATCTGAACATGTCACCCACTTCGTAGAAAATACCAGGATATATATCATGTATCACCGTTCAGCCTGAAAATACCAGGATATGAATTTATGTCTGCATCGTTCAGCCCTACAAAATAGTCATGTAATAAAAAACTACACTGCTTTTCTCTGCAGTGTCATTAAACGATTTCATCTCATCGTGAATCTTTAGTCTGAACTTGGTTTAAAAGAGAAAACAAAATCAGGCAGCCACTCATCTACCCTATGACATCATAAGTTTGAGACTGTCATCTTTGGTCGTTGCTCATGCTCACAAACACTGAGTGAACTATCTGTGGAAATCATAACTTGAAGTTTTTAAACGAGGTGAAACTCGTCTCCAGTGTTTGAATCCATCTGTTGTTTTCTCTCTCCACCAGCAAAAAGCTCGAGATAACCGGGCGGCTCAGCGCATCAACAAGGTGCAGCTGTCCAACGACCCGCTCAAACGCCACCAACCCCAGCAGCAGCCGCTACCACTGCCACTACCACTACCGCCGCCGCCGGGACCTTATGACCCCATTTCCATGGAGACGGAGGGGGCGTTTAAGGATCCGCTGAGACCCAAAGAGTCAGAACAGGAGCAGGAGTGGAAGTTAAGACAGGTGAGCAGAGTTTCAGTGTGTTTGTCTTGAACACCTCACCTCCATGAATCAGAACCAGAGGGAGAAATCAACACCACTGGCACAGAGCAAACATGTCAATCAATCAATTCAATCAATTTTATTTATAAAGCCCAATATAACAAATCACAATTTGCCTCACAGGGCTTTACAGCATACGACATCCCTCTGTCCTTATGACCCTCACAGCTGATCAGGAAAAACTCGGAAAAAAATGGTAGAAACCTCAGGAAGAGCAACTGAGGAGGGATCCCTCTTCCAGGACGGACAGACGTGCAATAGATGTCGTACAGAACAGATCAGCATAATAAATTAACAGTAATCCGTATGACACAATGACACAGAGAGAGAGAGACAGAGAGAGAGAGAGAGACAGAGAGAGAGAGAGAGAGACAGAGAGAGAGAGAGAGACAGTAGCTTACAACAACATTAATGAAAGTAATAATATTATAATTATGGACATGTGAAATCACTCTGTGTCACGTTCACTATCGGGGGGGGGGGGGGGGGGGAGGGTGCAGAGGCAGACTGAGGGATGGCTTTCATGTGACTTTGTGCTGTTGTCATTGTGTCACTGATGAAGATGATGAGTGTGGAGAGTGTGATGTGCATGCTGCTGAGCCTCACTCACTCCAACTAACGTCTCTGATGTAATTGTCATTAAAAAGGAAGAGGTAAATGACAGATGGGGAGCCGGTAAGAAGAGGCAGGAAAATCTCCCCCAAAGCAGAGCCCTAAAATCACCAACAGATAAAGATTGTCCCTACCAGGCATCTGTAGCAGGAGGTGGCAGAGAGGCTCTGGTAAGATCTCAACCTGTTCGAGGCGAACTTCCTGTATCCATGAACCTCTGAAATCCTCTTCCTGTCCTGGGATGCTCCTCCGCTGGTTCACACACACTTCAGTTTCCCCTCTGACCACCTGGAGGTCAGCAGCCAGTTACCAGCTGGTCAGCAGATGGTTACCAGCTGGTCAGCAGATGGTTAACAGCTGGTCATCAGATGGTTACCAGCTGATCATCAGATGGTTACCAGCTGATCATCAGATGGTTACCAGCTGGTCATCAGATGGTTACCAGCTGGTCATCAAGATGGTTACCAGCTGATCATCAAGATGGTTAACAGCTGGTCATCAGATGGTTAACAGCTGGTCATCAGATGGTTAACAGCTGGTTAGTAGCCAGTGGTTTCTTTGCTAATCTAGAATCGAGAGCAGAGCTGAATTAGATCAGATTAAGCATAAAGCTTGTTGAAACAAATTTCTGGTTCCAGCTCCGTAAAGGTTTGTTTCTTCTCTTTGTTTCAACAAGTAGAATAAACTGAATATCTTTAGGTTTTCCAGGACAGAAACAGTGGAAACTAGATGTGTGATAGTGACATCGAGCAGACCTTCCCAAAGAGAAGAGGATTTCAGACACATGGACCCAGGATCGGTCACAGTCATCTTCTCTGGGCCAAAGCACAGTTAACATTTGAGGGTTTGGGGAACACTGGAGGAGAGTCTGATCCGACTATACTAACACTTTAGTCATTTCAGTCTTAGGACAGTTGAGCTGGAGTTGACCCAGAGTCGGTGCCCAAGGCCTCAGACCGTCTCAGAACTGACTGATATTATTCTGAAGGGATGCTGCCTTGCTCTGATTGTTTGTCTGCTGCCGTTCTACAGCGTCTGCCGCACACTGATCTGAAAACAGCTCCCAGGTTGTTGTGGTCTCTCCTAAATTCACAGTGGAGCATTTATTGGTGAACTTCATGTGGTAGAACAGAAGGTGCATGTCTTCTCAGCTGGTGTTAACCACAGAAAAACACACTGACTATGACACAAGGAAACAGGAAGTGCTAGCATGCTCAACTCATCTCTGGGCATTCGGACCCCGTCCTGCAGCGCTCTGTGGCTTCTTGCTCGCTCCTGTGAAGTTTGCATGTGTTTAGATTAAGTAACGTGTACCGTTGGTGCCAAATTGTTTTTCTGTGCAAATAAGTGGACAGAGATCAGCGCCAACAGCCGCACACAGCCACAGGGACATTTTTCATTTGTCTTTTGAGAGTTGGTGCTAACTGCAGCATGTTTATGAGACGTGTCACACCCAGACTGTCCAGTGATCACGGTAGCACTTACTGTAGCCGGGCCAAGGCATCGTCATGCCAGGCGTGCTCGTCAGCAGATAATCGCCCCTCTTCCACCTTAGGAACTTTTATCATTTACCCGGGATTTTGAAAAACCTCAGCAAGTTTCTGCGGAAAAACCTTTCCCTGAAAAAAGTACCTAGTAGGGGGGTAGGACTTTTCAGATTCCCCAACTTTCTTGAGGGGCGGGGCTGTGTGCTGAAGAACGCTGATTGGTGGAACACACACTTGGAGTGTTCCACACTTCTGTTCCAGTGTGGCTGCAAACTTTATTTCATTTCTCCAAGCTTCACTTTGGTTGTATTTTGATCATTTGTAAAACTGAGCAAAAGAAGAGAAGCTACGAGAAGTGGACGGACAACGAGGTCCACGCTTTTGAGTGCATTTGCCAAGGAAGAAATTCAGCAGGACTCCAAACGACCGAGTCTGGGGAAGAATAGCCGACAAGCTGGCAAAGCTAGATATGGGGCACATGCTGAAACAGATTCAAACAATTGGTCACAGGACACCACGGAGCGCCATTAATCAGTGCTTATCCTTTTAACACATTATTTTTTCTATGGTAACTTAAACCAAAATCAAGGCGTTATTTAGACGGCCCGATTTTATATTTTCCTTCCTGTATCCATTTCGCATTGCAAAAGCCCCTTATCATCTCAGCTCAGAGAATCCCGTCATTTTCTGAACAGGCTTTTATTCTGAAACATTTGCAGGAACTTCCTGTGGAGGATTCAGTGACTAACACAGTTTGCATGTGGGACTTTACATGTAGCTCCGCCCATCTGGTTACGTTACTACATCAACCGATCGGCTGGGACATGAACAGACACAGTGACTGAAAGAATGATGATGGTAATAGGACAAGAATAATCGGATGACATCACGCACGTCATGAAAGACGACCTGTCACGTCTGTCAGCCAAGTCACGGAAGATTTTATGACTCCGTAACCGCCTAACGTGACAGAGTGACTCTCGGAACACACAAACACGCATCGAGGTGTTTTTTTTTTTTTTCTGTAAAGCTGCTATGAAATCAGACGTGTGAGGCTGCAACAGTCTGAAGTCCTGGATGGACTGACACAAACCTGAGGGGCGTCATTGGCTCAGTATAAGATGGCGTTCGGCTGTGATTGGTCAGTGAGCTGAAGGACGACAGCAGCCTCACATTCAGTACAAGCAGGTGTGATGAACCAGGCGAGAGACAGACAGGAGAGATCAATCAGCAGGGAGGACAGGTGAGTCCTCTGCTGGAGGACCACAACATAATCACTGCCCTCCTCCAGGACGTTTAATCACTCTGATGATGGACGTGTCGTCGTCATGACGTCACGCTGTTAACTCATTCATCACCAACTGTCCCACATTTACAGAGAGACAGGGACAGAGACAGAGACACAGAGAGGGGACAGGGACAGGGAGCATCACCAGCTGCCATGTCATCATGTTTTACCTCCACATGTAGAGAACAAGCAGCACACTGACATGTCCTCTGTTCTCTACTCTCTCTGTGTCTCTGTCTTCTCCCTGTCTCTGTCCTGTCCCCTCTCTGTGTCTCTGTCCTCTCCCTGTCTCTGTCCTGTCCCCTCTCTGTGTCTCTGTCCTCTCCCTGTCTCTGTCCTGTCCCTCAGATGATGCGTCAGAAGAGTAAGCAGCTGGCGAAGATGGAGGCGACTCAGAAGTTGGAGCAGGTGAAGATTGAGCAGCTGCAGCAGCAGAGGCAGCAGCAGCTGGTTGGTCGTCTGTCCCCGGAGGCCGGCAGCAGGAGTCCCATCACCTCCTCCCAAGGCAGCACCTCCCCCCTCCATCCACCGCTGTCCAGACAGCACCTCCTCCTCGCCGACGATGTCTTCCTTAGACCGCAAGCCCCTCCCCCCTCTGGTTTCTCCTCACTTCCTCACTCCCCCCTCCCATCCTCCCCTCTCCACCAGCCCCCATCCTCCCCTCAGATGTTCTCCCCGCCCTCCTCCCGCCCCTCCTCGCCCTGGGACCCCTACAGTAAAGTAGCAGGGACCCCTCGCCCCACCTCCTCCCAGGCCACCGGCCCCCCAGCCCCCCAGCAGCAGCGTCACAACTCCCTCAGCGCCTCCCCGGCCCACGATGCCTTTGGCTCCCCTGCACCATCCCCCGACTCTAAAACCTCCGACGTCCCTCGGACCCTTGGACCCCAACCAGGTAACTCCCACTAAACACCTCCTCCTTGTTTTCTCCTCCCTCTGACTGACTCCTCCTTTCTCCTCTCTCTGACAGTCTCCTCCTTGTTTCTCCTCCCAGGCCTGCAGCAGAGCAGGGCAGGTATGATGAGCCCCTCCTCCGGCTCGGCCCCCGACCTCTCCTCCAGACATGTGGGTATCCGAGCAGCAGAAACGTACCAGAGGACTCCATATAACGGCAGTAACATACGTGTACCGGTGTCTGAATCGTACGGTCGGGCTGGTGAACTGGTCCAGGGTGGGTTGTTTAAAGCCCCCATGCCCCCCCAGCACCAGCCTCAGCAGGAGGTGTTTGGCAGCTCAGGAGGCGGAGGAGGACGGAGGGACCCGTCCAGACCCACAGACCTAGGCTTCACCCTTCTCCAGTCTCAGGACCCTCCCTTCCCCTCCAGTCCACTGACAGGACTGGGTTCCCCCCACCGCAGTCCCTACGCCCAGACGCCTGGCACCCCCAGACCTGACTACAGCCAGCAAATCACTGACCCCTTCACCCAGCACTCACCTTTGACCTCCCGGCCCTCGCCTGACCCCTACGCCAACCCTCAGACTCCCGGTACACCTCGCCCCCACTCTGACCCTGCTTACCTCGCAACACCGCCTACACTGAGACTGGACCCGTACAACCAGCAGTCTGCCAACCGCCGGCCATCCCCCTCTCACCCAAACCTCGACCCCTACGCCTCCAACCCCGGGACACCACGCCCCTCTGTCACAGAGCGCTTCCCTCGATCGCCAGGGAGTCAGCGGAGCAACGACCCCTACGCTCAACCCGCTGGGACGCCACGACCCACCTCTGATCCCTACGCCCAGCAGCCCTCCACGCCACGGCCCCAGAAGGCCCCAGAGCCCTTCAGTCAGAACCCAGTGGAGAGCTTCACTCCTCAGCCTGCAGGATCCACCTCATCGCCTTCAGTTCCAGGATTGTCTGGAGAGACGGTGTCCTTCACCTCTGCACACCACCAGGTAACAGACAACACCCTGTTTACTACTGCTACTGCTACTGCTGCTAATGCTACTGCTACTGTTACTGCTACTGCTACTACTACTACCACTACTGCTACTGCTACTACTGCTGCTACTACTGCTACTGCTGCTGCTACTGCTACTGCTACTGTTACTGTTACTGCTGCTAATGCTACTGCTGCTACTACTGCTACTGCTACTGTTACTACTGCTACTGCTACTACTGCTACTGCTACTGTTACTACTGCTACTGCTACTGCTGCTACTACTACTGCTACTGTTACTACTGCTACTACTACTGCTACTGCTACTGCTACTGTTACTACTGCTACTACTACTGCTACTGCTGCTAATGCTACTGCTGCTACTACTACTGCTGCTACTGCTACTACTACTGCTACTGCTGCTACTACTACTGCTGCTACTGCTACTGTTACTACTGCTACTGCTACTACTGCTACTGTTACTACTGCTACTGCTGCTACTACTCCTACTGCTACTGTTACTACTGCTACTACTACTGCTACTGCTGCTAATGCTACTGCTGCTACTACTACTGCTGCTACTGCTACTGTTACTACTGTTGCTACTGATACTGCTACTACTGCTACTGCTGCTACTGCTACTCCTACTACTGCTACTACTACTCCTACTACTGCTACTGCTATTGCTGCTGCTGCTGCTACTACTACTACTACTGCTACTACTGCTGCTACTGCTACTACTGCTACTACTGCTACTGCTACTGCTGCTGCTGCTACTACTCCTACTGCTGCTAATGCTACTGCTACTACTACTGCTACTGCTACTACTACTCCTACTACTGCTACTACAACTGCTGCAAATGCTACTCCTACTACTGCTGGTGCTGCTACTACTCCTACTACTGCTACTGCTACTACTACTCCTACTACTGCTACTGCTACTACTACTGCTACTGCTGCTAATGCTACTGCTGCTACTACTGCTACTGCTACTACTACTCCTACTACTGCTACTGCTACTACTACTACTACTGCTGCTACTCCTACTACTCCTACTACTGCTACTGCTGCTAATGCTACTACTAAGTCTACTACTGCTACTACTACTACTACTCCTACTACTGCTACTACTACTGCTGCTAATGCTACTGCTGTTACTACTACTGCTACTGCTAATGCTACTAGTGCTATTACTGCTACTGCTACTACTACTACTGCTGCTAATGCTACTGCTACTACTGCTACTGCTGCTAATGCTACTGCTACTACTACTACTACTGCTACTGCTACTACTACTCCTACTGCTGCTACTACTACTACTCCTACTACTGCTACTGCTGCTAATGCTACTACTACTACTGCTGCTGCTGCTACTCCTACTACTGCTACTGCTGCTACTACTGCTACTGCTACTGCTACTGCTGCTGCTGCTACTCCTACTACTGCTACTACTACTACTACTCCTACTACTGCTACTGCTGCTACTACTGTCACTGCTGCTTACAGCAGATTTTTTTCCCCTCTGATTAATTTTTCTCCTTTCAGTTGCAGCAGTCTCCCGGAAGACAACAACAACAGCAGCAGCAGCAGGAGTCATTTCCCAGAACCTCCAGCAGCCAGACACCAAAGCACGCTGGGATGGCAGAGGACAGCAACTTCCTGGCAGGTCAGACTCCTGGTAACGACACCATCGAGCAGGGCCATGTTACATTAGGCCCCTTACAAACGGACAAGACAACAACCAATGAAATGGCAGCACTGGCCCAGGCTTCTTTAGAGGGACCAATGAGCATGCTGCCTCAGATTGGTGACTCAGAGGAGAAGCTGAGACAGGTAAGGCAGGTGTTCTCCAGGCAGGAGGAGTTCACTCACTTGGTTTGTTCTGCGTACTGAGTTCTGCTGTGTTCTGTCTGCTCTTGTGCAGCGTCAGCGGCTCCGGCAGCTCATTCTGAGGCAGCAGCAGCAAAAGAGTGCTCTACGGCAGGAGAAAGGTCTGCAGGAAGCAGCCTCTGGAACCTCTGCTGCTCCACCTGCACCCTCCCCTGGTCCTGCCACACCACGACACTGGTCTCAGGTGGACTCATCCACTGCTTCTCCAACAGACCCGTTTGGACGTCCCCCACCCCCTTACCCTGGCACGAGGCCTAGTGGGGCAGTGGGGGCCCCAGCCCCCAGGTTCCCTGGAGGTTTCCCAGGGGAGCAGCAGAGGGGCTTCACCCCCAGTGAGCCTCCTTTCCCCAGGCAGAGCCTCCCCAGAGAGCTGGGCGTTCGAGGACCGTTGCTGAGGTGAGATGAGCGACAAACACCTGCTTCTGACCTGATCTGATGAAGTGTTCTGCTTTACTCACATCTCCTCTCCTCCTCTGCTTGCTCCTACAGGTTTGGTGTTCCTCCAGGAGCTCCAGCAGGTTTCCAGGACTCCTTCTTGCGTCCTCCCCAGGGATCTGTGCCTGGTTCTGGACTGAGTTTGGTGGAAGGTGTCCCAGTCCAGATGAGGAGGCCGATGCCTGGGGAGTTCACAGGCATCCGACCCCTCCCAGCTCCAGGCGCTCCCCCACACATGATGCCGGGTCAGACAGCTACAAACACCACCCACATGTACAGCATGAGTGACACCAACCCAGTTCAGTTTATTCATAAAGCTCGGCCCGGCAGACTAGGCCTATATCAGCCTAACTAGGGGCTGGTCCAAGGCAAGCCTGAGCCAGCCCTAACAAATTCTTCAAGTCTTAAAGTCCTGAATACAAACTTGTGTCTTAAAGTCCTGAAGACAAACTTGTGTCTTAAAGTCCTGAAAACAAACTTGTGTCTTAAAGTCCTGAAGACAAACTTATGTCTCAAAGTCCTGAAGACAAATTTGTGTCTTAAAGTCCTGAAGACAAACTTGTGTCTTAAAGTCCTGAAGACAAACTTGTGTCTTAAAGTCCTGAAGACAAACTTGTGTCTCAAAGTCCTGAAGACAAACTTGTGTCTTAAAGTCCTGAAGACAAACTTGTGTCTTAAAGTCCTGAAGACAAACTTGTGTCTTAAAGTCCTGAAGACAAACTTGTGTCTTAAAGTCCTGAAGACAAACTTGTGTCTTAAAGTCCTGAAGACAAACTTGTGTCTTAAAGTCCTGAAGACAAACTTGTGTCTTAAAGTCCTGAAGACAAACTTGTGTCTTAAAGTCCTGAAGACAAACTTGTGTCTTAAAGTCCTGAAGACAAACTTGTGTCTTAAAGTCCTGAAGACAAACTTGTGTCTTAAAGTCCTGAAGGTAAATTTGTGTCTTAAAGTCCTGAAGACGAACTTGTGTCTTAAAGTCCTGAAGGCAAACTTGTGTCTTAAAGTCCTGAAGGTAAATTTGTGTCTTAAAGTCCTGAAGACAAACTTGTGTCTTAAAGTCCTGAAGACAAACTTGTTTCTTAAAGTCCTGAAGACAAACTTGTGTCTTAAAGTCCTGAAGGCAAACTTGTGTCTTAAAGTCCTGAAGGCAAACTTGTGTCTTAAAGTCCTGAAGAGTCATTAACGTTATCCTCTGCATCTTATCTCGGCTCCTCGTCATCTCGTTGCCTGCTGGTTGACGCTGACACAGACTTTCAAAAGAAAGTGTAAACTTAAGATGATGACATGGGTCTATGTTTTCACTTTGCGTCGATGGTATTGGATGGATCATTGATCATTGAAACAATAAATTCAATGGATCGTTACACCCTTAACAGGAACCTCACATTCCCCTGCATTCTTGGAGCATGTACTTTTCTGAAGCCTTCATGCCTCTTTCATGTGGCGTCTACTAGATTTGATCTAAAGATAAAAACAGTGGGTTGACATGGATAACACACCTCCTGTACAGTAACAGGGTCTTTCAGTGATGTGATATCGTTTACATGAATGTTCTTTATTTTTCTCGTATTTCACACGTTGGTCATAATGTAGTTTTAACGTATCAACGTATTTCTTCAGTGATCCCCATACCAGCACTGCCCATCTGATCAAAAGCAAAAAGCCCTTTAAAATATTCTTTAAAAAAAAACTTTGTGTCATTTATTTAATACTATCCTCCCCCTCCAGGTGTCCCCCAGCCCTTCCTTCCACGCTCCCTCCCCCTCCAGCAGCACAGCATCATGGGACAGCCCTACATCGAGCTTCGACACCGCACCCCGGAAAACCGCCTGAGGCTGTCCTTCTCTGTGCCTGCCGCCCCCGACCCCGAGGCCCCGCTGCTGCAGCCCAGAGACCCCCAGGCGCCTGCGACCAGGCCCGCTCAGACGCCACTGGGCCAGCAGACGATGCTGGACCAGTTGAACCAGCAGCAGCACCTCGGCCACGCAACAGCAGCACTGACTCAGAGCGGTGATGCAACACTCCCGGGGGCTGATGGGATGGAGGAGCACCTGGAGGGAGAGGACTCAGCCGTGAAGGACCTGGAGGATGTGGAGGTGAAAGATCTGGTTGACCTCAACCTGAACCTCGACCCTGAAGACGGTACGAGTAAAATTCACATATCGATTCATGGACAGAATAATAAATCATCAAGTCGTTTGTTCTGTCCAACAGGGACCGGCTCAGATAAAAATATGTGCTGACTTTATGGTTCTGATGAGATCCTTTTGATGATATAATGCAGTATTTGTTTTAATAAATTATTTAGATTTTACCAGAAAATTTCTGCTGGCTTTTCAGGTAAGGAGGACCTGGATCTGGGTCCTAACGACCTCCACCTCGAAGACCTCCTGCTGTCGGGGAAGTTCGACCTGATCGCCTACGCTGACCCTGAGCTCAATCTGGAAGACAAGAAGGACATGTTCAACGAGGAGCTGGACCTGGGGGAGCCTGCGGTGGAGAAGGACAGGGGAGAAAGGAGGGATGGAGCCAGTGGGTCCAGAAAGACCGATAGCTACAGCCAGTGCAAACAGGAAGTGCAGGACAGCGTCAAGACAGAAGCCAGTGAAGTCCCTTCTACAACCCAGAACCCTGCTCCACAGCTTGGGGTTGTCACCACCAGCAGACCCCCCAGACCTCCAGGAGCTCCAGGAGCTGAGGCAACAGGCTCTAGCCAGACCTCAGTCCCTGCCTCCCTCCAGAAGGGGGAGGACTCTGGTTCTGGTTCAGGGGCCTTGCCGGCTCTCCAGACCCAGGAACAGGCTCCGTCATCAGGCATGGCTCCCAGAGCTCATCCCCCCATGACTGGAGGTAAACAAATATGAACTTTAGACATATTATAGATTAGATTTTATGGATAGATTATTGATCAGTATTTCCAATTGATGGAATTTTATTGATAGATTATTGATCTTTTTTTACTTGATAGATTTTATTGATAGATTATTGATTGGTGTTTCTTCTTGATAGATTTTGTGAAGCCTGGAATCACAGAGAATGAATTTAGTATTCACCCTGACCACGGTGTGACAATCTTATCTGTATGTATTGATCTGATGAACAGCTAACATTAACTCCTTCTGGTCTCCAGATCAACAGTTGGTCTTCCAGCAGCAGCAGAGACCATTTGGACCCTCCCCCTCGGCTCTCTTCACCCCCCACCCTCAAGGCGTCCCTGTGTCTCCCCACCCCAGTCTGGCTCCCCAGGGAGCCCCTGCCCCGCCTCACCCACTGTCCCTACAACCCCCCCAGCCTCGTCTCCTCCTCAACCCCCAGACCCAGAGCCAGGCTGTGTTCCCAAAGAACCAGGACCAGGACCAGAACCATCACAGGCCTCTTCTCCTGGAGGAGCAACCGCTCCTCCTGCAGGACCTCCTAGACCAGGAGCGCCAGGAGCAGCAGCAGCAGAAACAGATGCAGGCCCTGATCAGACAAAGGTCCACGACAGACACTGTGTTACCCAACATAGGTAAGGCATTTACACAGTGCTCCTGTTCACCTGCTTGTTGCTTTTGAGATTGTTGTTATGGAATATTGTGTGCAAGCACAGAAGGTCACGCTGTGTTTTTGTGTGTGTTCAGCAGACTTTGACTCCATCTCTGATCCCATCATGAAGGCCAAGATGGTGGCTCTAAAGGGCATCAACAAGGTCATGACCCAGGGCAGCCTGGGACTCAACCCCATGGTCATCAACAGGTACGACCTCTCTTGGTCCACTGTCAGTCCTTTGTTGGCCCACAGTCGGTCCTTTGGTCCATGGCCGGTCCTTTGGCCCGTGGTCGGTCCATTGTTGGTCCACAGTCGGTCCATTGTTGGTCCACGGTCGTCCTTTGTTGGTCCACAGTTGGTAAGGTTTGGTACCAAACTCATTACTTTTAAGGGCACTGACTGAATTAGGTTTGTACGACCGAGTACTGATTCAAGTTAAATCCATCGGTGCCAAATGTCGGTAGCTGAGAGTGCATCTGGGTGAGCCCACCAAGTTAAGACAAGAAGGCCCAACTTGTCGGGGCCAACATGAATCTCCATGACGACTCTGTCAGCTTCCCGGTGAGCCACAGCTACCACTGCAGTGCAGATCTGCTGCCACAGTTTCAGGATCGTGGTCGGTTTTCTTTTCTGTATTATTTGAGTGACGAAGGAGCAACAAAACCATCAGGATCGGTTTAGATGTGAATGGTACCCAACCCTAACAGTCAGTCCGTTATCAGGCCAGGTCAGACTACAGTCAGCTCGCTGCTCAGAATGTAAACTTGAAGGTTTAATGGAGATTTATCGATAGAATCAATTTGATGGAGCAGAGGACTTGACATCATGTATGCCGGAGTGTGTGTGTGTGTGTGTGTGTGTGTGTGTTTGAATGCTGCTTTAAAGGTTCAGTGTGTTGGATTTAGTAGGGGCAGGGGAAAGTCAATACAGCGTAAGATCACAATATTTTGTGTGGCATTACTGTTTTGATAAACGGATGGCAAGTATCTATCACATTTTGTCGTATCGTGTTTTTGAAGTCAGTAAATTAGTAATGTTACAATTACAAATTAAAATTTTGGGAGCCTAATAAGTTACAGAATCAATTACTTTTCGGTTGACCAGGCACAGTTTGCTGCCAAAAAAATAAGTGAAGAGAAATGATGGACTGAAAACTTTTATCTGATTAGTTTTCATTTAAAATGTAATAAATCACAGTGTGTTATCACAATACTCAGCATATTGCAGAACCTTTAAAACTGCAGTAATATTGTATTGTGACTTACATAGCGTGATAATGCCGTGTCATGGGGCCTCTGGTGATTCCTTTGCTTTAAGTGGCATCTAGTGATGAGGTTGCAGAACTGAAACTTCTACCGTGTGCCCAGCGTGTAGGACAACTACAGTGGGTGTCGCCAAAACATTTGGTTTGGTTTGTCCATTCTGGGCTACTGTAGAAACATGGCGATCTCAACGAGAACCTGCTCCGTGTGTAGATATAACCAGCTCATTCTGAGGTAACGGAAACACAGCCGTTCTGATTTCCAGGTGATTATACACTAAATAAAACTCACAGACCAGAGAAGATGACAACTCATTATTTAAGAGTGACTGACATCTTTTCTTTTTCTCGGTGTGTGTGTGTGTGTTTGTGTGTATGTGTGTGTGTGTGTGTGTGTGTGTGTGTGGTGTGTGTGGCGTGCGCACTAGGTTCCAGCAGGCTCCTGTGGTCCCAGGTCCAGAGGGGACCCCTCAGCCTCCACACCTGGCGGGACAAGTATGTAGAACCATGACATCATGTGTCTTTGTGACAATAATTAGTTTGTTAATATGATAGTTAATGCTGAACTGCACTGCGTCACTTTATCCACGTCATTGTGTCAGAATGTATTTGCTGAGTTTGCCTTCAAACAGAAAGTGTCTTCTCTTCTGTCAGGACGCAAAGTTGAACCCCCAGTTGGTGCGACCCAACCCCCCCAGCTTTGGCCCGGGCTTTGTCAGTGAGTACCAGAGAATAATCCTAACAACAAAAACTCATCCACTCACTTCATGTTTCTCAGTATGTCTCCACGCCAGCGGCAGCCGTGGCCAGAGGCATCATGTTGTCCGTATGTCCATCCATTCGTCCATACCTTTCTCATGAACGCAATATCTCAAGAATGCCTTGAGGGAATGTCCTCGAATTTTACACAAACGCCCACTTGGACTCAGCAATGAACTGAAATGATTTTGGGGGTCAAAGATCAGTGTGACCTCGCATCTGTCTCGTTCTCGTGAGCGTGATATCCTAAGAAAGCCTTTAGATAATTTCCTCAAATTTGGCACAAACATCCACTTGGACTCAAGAATAAACTGATTAGAATGTGGTGGTCAAAGGTCAAAGGTCAGTGTGACCTCACAAAATATGTTTTTGGCCATAACTCAAGAGTTCATTCACTAATTATGACCAAACTTGACACAAATGTCTAGCGGGATGAAGTAATGAAGGTCAAAAGGTCAAAGGTCAGCTTGACTGTGACATCATCATGTTTTAACGTCATATCTCAGGAACAGAGGGGGAGACATTTGGTCAGATACTGAATTGGTGACTCTAATCTTGAAACTGTGCTGATTGTATAGATCTTCTGTGTGTGAAGCATCCATGTTTTAGAACTTGGAGCTTCTTTGCAGCAACAGTTGAAACATTGTCAGCTGTTATGAATACATATGAGTCTGGACAGACAGGAATGTGAAGTGTTACCTCACTGTTTGGTGGAGGCATACAACCGCGAGGCACTAATTCTAGTTTTAAAATAAAATCCTGCAAACATCACACTGTCAGATCAGATCATGTTGAAGGATGTGATGATGGAAAACTAGACTTAGTGTGAACAGATAACACAGTAATAGCACAGTAAATATGTAGTTTTAAGTTTGTCTGTGAACAGAACATTAATATTAAAGACATATAAATATAAATACAGAGCTTATTATTTACCTCATGTGGTTTTTCAACACAATATATCTCTTTCTTTGAATATTCAAAAATACTCAGCAAACATTTTCTGTTGAAAGGAGTTTAAAATGCGTCTTTGGTCACTGGTCGAAAGACGTTCAGAAAAGGTTCATTAGTGAAAGTTTTTTTCACGACTGTCTGAAGGCGTTGATCGAACGTTCACGTTTAGACCATATTTCACTCATCCTCCACAGTTTGCAAATGCATCTGTCATCATTCAGTGTTTATTTCATTGATAAAAACTGACAACTTTGTTTCCATGACGAAAATGAGACGATGACGAGCTAAAAATAGATCTTGATAATAGAAACTGAGACCAGTTCTATGTTTCATTTCAATTGGCGAGACGTGATGAAATTGTTGGTGGTGGACTGTCGGATATTGAAAGTTGAGAACGGCCGTGCTTGTAATTATCTTCAGATGCAGCATGAGCGACAGGCTGGTAAACTCCAGTAAATAGTCTGCACCTCCCAGTGCAATATCACTTTGGAGAAATACCTTCACGCACTAATCAGTATCGTCTCACTTTTACCACACAACTCAGCAAATTACCAGAATAATTAAACAGATGTGTTTTTGTGACACGTTGATGCTGTAACCATGTCAGCTACTAAAAGAAAGGGGTCGTAGACGTTCACTCCGAGTTTCACAGGGTTCAACTCAAATTCAACGTTGAAATCCTGGTTAGTGCTTGCTGGGATGTTGTTTCTAAAGTCTGAGTGTTGGACATGAGATGTCTCCTGCTTCACTGTGTCTCACTCACTGTTTGTGTGTAAAAGCTGTCCTGTGTCCCGCAGATGAGTCCCAGCGGCGTCAGTAAGAGGAGTGGTTGGGGGAGACGCAGCAGCTCCTGCAGATGCAGCAGCGCCTCCTGGAGGACCAGATCGCTGCTCACCGCAAGACCAAGAAATCTCTGTCGGCCAAACAGAGAACGGCTAAGAAGGCCGGCCGAGCGCTCGCCGAGGAGGACGCCGCCCAGCTCCGCAACATCACGGAGCAGCAGGGAGCGGTCCAGAAACAGCTGGAGCAGGTACACTGACACACCTGGGGCCTCCCTTCACATCCACCACCTCCAGACTAGGGGTGGGCGATGTATCGATTATACGCTAACTCAGCGTGTTCTACGTGGGATATTTAAAATGACCATAACCTGAGTGTGGAGTATAAACTGTCACATCCACATTAGACATGCTTCTATGTTTGGTTTTGCCTCTCACAGACACACACAAAAACAAACACACTCCCTCACCCATCCAGGCGTGTTTTTGTTTCTGCAGCTCTGCAGCCTGTGACTGTTGAGTTGCATTTTGCGACCATGGAGCACCAGTATGACTGTTAGATATTATTGAAATACAGACCGGAGCTGTTAAATTGTTTCCAGCTCACAGTGAATAAATCCTCATGTTTAAAGGTGCTACTGTAACAGTTTCACTGTCTGCTAACTGCTAACAGCTAACTGTCAAACAGGAAGCTTTGAGTTCACAGTAAAAACATCATCACTTCCTGCCCGAGGCGAGCCAGTTGCTTCAAAATAAAAGCATCAGAGGTTCCACAACAGTTTTATATTTATCTTACTTTATTATGTCATTTAACTGTATTATATGACGGCAGCTACTTTATTTAACTTATTAAAACTGTAGTTCATTTTATAATTTAGTATTTAAATCGTCAACAGCATATATTCAATCCGTGTTATCACAGACATGGATGGAAACTGTCAGAGACAGTAATTCTAGTTTTTCTTCAGTTTTTGTTTTTGTAAAATTGTCTTGACTTAAAAAGTCTTGCATGTCTCTTGCCTCCAGCTGTAGGAGGTCTGAGTGAGTGTTAGTGTCAGCAGGAGGGTGTGTGAAAGTGTTTGTGACAGATACATTGACTGTTGGTTTATAAGTGAATGTGTACGATGTCAAGTCACTCTGCAGCTGACGCGTCACTGTGGTGCTGTGGTGTGTTCAGATCCGGAAGCAGCAGAAGGATCATGCCGAGCTGATCGAGGACTACAGGACCAAGCAGCAGCAGCAGAGAGCAGCTGCAGGAGCGCCCCTCCTCCCTCAACCCATGGTGTCAATGCAGTCCCACCCGGGCGGCCCCACCCCGGCCCGTATCCCAAACGCCCCCCTTGGTTGGACCCCAGGGAGCGGGGCCCCAGCGGGGGTGATGGGGCAGAGGATGCCACTTCATCTGCCCCCTCAGATGCCTCCGTCCCTACCTAACGCTCCTCGGGCTGCACTGCACACCCACACCCCTCCTCCCATGGTGCCTGGCCTCGTTGCTCCGACAGCGGGCTTCACTGCGGGCCCCCAGGGCCCCAGCACAGGGCCCACTGGAGCAGCAGCGGACGCAGCGGCTGCCCCACCTCAGGTAACACCCCTGGAATCAACCACAACATTCATAGCTTTTGACTCTGATGGATTTCTAATCCACTGCAACACCTCCAGTTGCTGTAGAGCTGTTTATTCACTACGTTTTCATTCTTAAGGAAATAAACGCAGAGCAGCTTTAATACTGCAGCCTGCATGGCCGTCAGTCAACAGTGATCATAAAACCTGATTAATTAATCAACTGATGGTCTCAGCTCCAGAAGCTCCGCCAAGGAAGAACATAGTGAGAATAATGATAGAGCTTATGTAAGTGTGATTGTGGTTCAGGCATGTGAGACAAGTCAAAACCAAACATCTGATCCAGTTTTTGACGATTCTGTTTGACGGCCATGTCCTTGACTTTAAGAGTTACCATAGAGGTTATTGAATGCAGAAAGAGTGAAGCTCTGACTTCTATCTCCGCAACCTGCAGGTCAAGTTTGACGACAACAACCCGTTCAGCGAAGGTTTCCAGGAGAGGGAGAGGAGGGAGAGGCTGAGAGAGCAGCAGGAGAGGCAGAGAGTTCAGCTCATGCATGAGGTGAAGCTTCGCACTATCATCACTCATAACAGGAAGTAGAAACACAAACACATTGTTTTTGCCCGTTATTCTCTCCAGTCATTGAAAAAATGGTTCTGTCAATAAAATGTCAGGAAACAGTGGAACCTGTCCTGCTGTGTTGTTTACGCCTGTTTTGTCTGAACCACAGTCCAAAAATCTGTTCCCTTTGTCATCATGTCCGACAATGAAAACAATTAAAAAGCATAAAACTAGGATCTGATAAAAAATGACAGAAACGATTATTCGATCATCAGAATAGTTGCTGATTAATTTCCTGACTGATGGATGACTTGACTAATGGTTGCAGCCCCAAAACACGCAGCTGCTCTTCTCCTCTCAGGTGGAGCGTCATCGTGCCCTGCAGCAGAGGCTGGAACTGGAGCAGCATGGCCTCCTGGGAGCCTCCATGGGTCCTGGAGCTGGAGTAGCAGCCATGGCCTCATCTGGAGCTCCATCAGGGGCTCGAGCCGGACAAACTCCTGGACCTGGAGGTCCTGCGGGGTCAGCACCTGCCCATGGAGAGGATAGTCTCTCCCAGATGCCCTTCTTCAGTTCTGAGCTGCCCCAGGACTTCCTCCAGTCCCCCCCAGCCTCCAGACCTCCCCCACAGCATCAGGGCCAGGCAGCAGCACCATTCCCCCAGCAGGCAGGCCATCACCAGGGCTTCGTAGGAGGACCCCTTCACCCTGGAGCTCACCCAGCTTCAGGTCTGCTGCCCGGGGCCGCAGCAGAGCGAGGCAGGGCCTTGCCTGTGGATGTGGCCCCCTCCAACCTCCAGACCAGGCCAAGGCTGTCGGGCCCCACTGTGCCCGTGGCCCCGGGACAGGTACGGTCTGCTGGGATCGGAGCGGCAGGAATGACCCCCTCCCATGCTGGAGGTCAGGCACATCGATTTGGACAAGACTCCTCCTCTTCCTCCCCATCTTTCTCCTGCTCCTCTTCCGGCGGCCCTTCCTCCCTCATCCAGCTCTACTCTGACATCATCCCCGACAACAAACCAAAGAAGAAAAGGAGCAGGAAGAAGGAAGGAGATGACCCCGCAGGTGGAGGAGGAGCCAGGACGCCACTGTCCTCACACTCTGATGACATCACAGCCCCACCCACTCCGGCTGTGTCAGACACTTCCTGCTCCACGCCCACTCGAGGCAACATGGATCAATCAGATCTGTGCTTCTCTCTAAGCTCTTCTCTCTCTGGACTGGCTCCGTCATCAGAGCTGGAAAAACAGCTGTCCGTCATTTCTGCTGCCCAACAGAGAGGCTCCGCCCTGGGCATGGAGTGTCAGAGAGGTCATCTGGAGGTCAAGGTCAGTTATTGTGATGTTACTGTGACCTTACTGTGATGTTACTGTGACCTCACTCTGTTACTGTGACATTAGTCCGATGTTACTGTGACATCACTCTGATGTTTCTGTGACCTCACTCTGATGTTACTGTGACCTTACTGTGACCTCATTCTGTTACTGTGACATTAGTCTGATGTTACTGTGACATCACTCTGTTTCTGTGACCTTACTGTGATGTTACTGTGACCTTACTGTGATGTTACTGTGACCTCACTCTGATGTTTCTGTGACCTTACTGTGATGTTACTGTGACCTCACTCTGATGTTACTGTGACCTTACTGTGACCTCATTCTGTTACTGTGACATTAGTCTGATGTTACTGTGACCTTACTGTGATGTTATTGTGACCTCACTCTGATGTTACTGTGACCTTACTGTGGTGTTACTGTGACGTCACTTTGATGTTACTGTGACCTTACTGTGATGTTACTGTGACCTCACTCTGATGTTACTGTGACCTTACTGTGATGTTACTGTGACCTCACTCTGATGTTACTGTGACCTTACTGTGATGTTACTGTGACCTCACTCTGATGTTACTGTGACCTTACTGTGATGTTACTGTGACCTCACTCTGATGTTACTGTGACCTTACTGTGATGTTACTGTGACCTCACTCTGATGTTACTGTGACCTTACTGTGATGTTACTGTGACCTCACTCTGATGTTACTGTGACCTTACTGTGATGTTACTGTGACCTTACTCTGATGTTACTGTGACCTTACTGTGATGTTACTGTGACCTCACTCTGATGTTACTGTGACCTTACTGTGATGTTACTGTGACCTCACTCTGATGTTACTGTGACCTTACTGTGATGTTACTGTGACCTCACTCTGATGTTACTGTGACCTTACTGTGATGTTACTGTGACCTCACTCTGATGTTACTGTGACCTTACTGTGATGTTACTGTGACCTCACTCTGATGTTACTGTGACCTTACTGTGATGTTACTGTGACCTCACTCTGATGTTACTGTGACCTTACTGTGATGTTACTGTGACCTTACTCTGATGTTACTGTGACCTTACTGTGATGTTACTGTGACCTCACTCTGATGTTACTGTGACCTTACTGTGATGTTACTGTGACCTCACTCTGATGTTACTGTGACCTTACTGTGATGTTACTGTGACCTCACTCTGATGTTACTGTGACCTTACTGTGATGTTACTGTGACATCACTCTGATGTTACTGTGACTTTACTTTGAGGTTACTGTGACCTTACTTTGAGGTTACTGTGACCTTACTTTGAGGTTACTGTAACAATGCCAATTAGTTATGATAATATGTGTCATAGTATTGTATTACACTGCTCCGGTGTTTAATGTGTCCCTGTCTCCTTGCAGGAGGAGCGTGAGGAGGGAGGAGCATGTGGAGGAGGTGTGGTGAAGATGGAGGAGGGCGGGGGTGAGGGATTCTCCTCCCCCTCTCATGTCCACGGGGGAGATGGGGGCAAGGAGCTGCTCAGACACCTGCTGAAGGACAAGACCTCCCCAGCAACCACGCCATCACCCACAGGCCAGGCCCCGCCCACTGCTCAGACCCCACCTGCTGCCCGCCGCCAGCTGTCCAATGAGAGCATCCGGTCTGAGGAGGAGGAAAGGCCTGGCTCCCATGGCAACATGGTGAGGAGGGGTTCATTATGAATGAAGTGGCTTTAACTGTGACATCTGAGCAGAAATGTTACCATGGCAACCTGTGTCCTCCTCCTGCAGGTGACGATGGACAGTCCAGGTCCAGATGTGCTGGACTCGTCCGGCAGGAAGAAAGCGCAGCGCTGTAAAAGACTGGCTCGGCCGGAGAAAGACAGAGCTCCCTCCAAAAACAAGAGGAGGAAGAAAGAGGAGGAGGAGAAGACGCTCCACTCCTCCTCCACCTCCCCCTCTGACCCACTGATGACACACCTCAGACAGGTAGACCCTCTGTTGTTCACAGTAAAATGGTTTTTACCAAACATGTTTATTTCCTGTTTCCCATTGTTTTTCACTGTAACTGTGGCATCACAACTCAAGAAGATGTGAAAGGAAGAAAAATCACAAGGGTAAAAAAGGAATAAAGCAAAAACAATAATAAGCTTTAAGTAAATAAAAAAATGAATAATATGGAGGAATGGTTATTTAATAATCTCCATGATAACTGAAAGAAACCATCAGGAGCTCCTCTCAAAAAGAATTTTATTTTTTCTAATCTTGACATTAAAAAGGAGAGTGGGTGTATGTCTTACTCAGAGTGTTGTGAAGGCAGTTATACACCAGGTCTGGCTCACAGTGGGCATGGTTGTAGTGACTAATGTGACACAGTGGATTTGGTATCAGAAGAGTATCTGAAGACCAGAGTCGCTGCAGCTGTGAACAGTTTCTGATTCATTCTCTGTCAGTCAAACATGGACTTCCTTTGAGACTTTTAATTCAGTGTTTCCTGCTCTTCACAGCCGTTACTGACAGCTGGTTATCTGTACTGACTATTGATTACTGCCCCCAGCTGTCGGTGCTGCCTCTCATGGAGCCGGTTCTCGGGGTGGATCTGAGTCTGTTCCCCCCGTACGGCAGCTCCTCTCTGGGCAGAGACTCCAGACTGACGGGCTCCTTCGGTAACGCCTGCCTGGACGGAGTCACTGACTACTACTCCCAGCTCATATACAAGGTACTACTGCAACCCCACTACAGCTGTTGTGACACCAACCACAGCTACACAAACATTAAACTGTCTGTTTCACTCAGTCTTTATTTTTACATCATTTCCCATCTGCACTCTTACAGCAGAATAACCTCAGCAACCCCCCCACACCTCCAGCCTCCCTGCCCCCCACCCCCCCGCCTGTCGCCAGACAGAAACTGGTCAACGGCTTCGCCACAACGGAGGAGCTGGCGAGGAAGGACATCACGGAACAGGACGGTGAGTGGTGCTGTTTAGACCCACTGCTTTGAAAGGCTTATGGATACTGTGATAGGGCTCATTCATGCTCATGTTTGATACAGACACAGACGGAGCCTTCTGTCCGTACTCTGCATTCATTTCCTCCATATTTGTACACGCCTTCCAAGATCTTTTGGATACAGACGAAACGGAGCAGAACCACCGGAGAGCGTGTAGGCAGCGTAGCGTAGTTCAAGCAAGATAGAACTGTAGGAGTCAATGAAGACATTTAAATAATGGCAGAACAGAACGAATCAGTAATATAGTGAGAAGAAATCTCCGCCCACATGTCAGGATGAATTTAATGACCTCACAAAGCAGCGCTGTCTACAATGCCAACTCCTTTTAAAGGTACAATATCACAACCTCTTTCACCATCGCCTTGTTTGTTGTTGTGTGTAACTTTTGACTCCGCCCTCTGGTGCCCTCTAATGGCTGTATCTGTGACATCATAGAGGACACATGGAGGTATGAGGGCAGTAACGTTTGAAAGGAAAGAATTTATTTTTGTACATAAAGGGAATATTAATGAACCCTTGACTTAGAGTCAAAGATCTCTCAGTCGGATACTTTGAGCAAACTTTTGAAATGTGACAAAATTAAATGTGAATTAGACGCATTTCCATAAAGTGGTTTGAAGTGAATAAACTCGGCTTCATGGAGTGTTGTTGGGTCCGAAGTTGGCGCCACAGGCTTTGCTCCACACACGGCTGTAATCTGCCAGTAATCAGAGTAGAAGAAGTCCAATCAGGAGACAAAACAAGTCGCCTTCAGTCTCCTCAGCAGTCCAAACACACCTGTTGTTGTACTACCAGCCATGTTTTCCCACATTATGGGAATATCTGAGAAGACGCTGACAGCAGAAACAGCTGATCAGTAAGTGAGTTTAATGTTCGCATGTCAGAACTTGTTCAGATAAGTTGTTTCCATGTCCCATTCATCACATCAACTCTTTTTCAACAAAGATAAAACCTCCTCAAGCCAGCATAAAATCTTTAATGTGCAGTTAAAGACGTTTTAGTGAGTTTTGCATTTTCAGTACAGCTCTTTTAATCCGATACTTGAAACACGGCAGCCATGTGACCACAGGTATGTGACAGCTTCGGGTCGTCTGCTCACCTCTTAGTTCCAATGAACTCACTGATAATTTAGACCAAGAGACATCATCTGTTCTCCAGTAGAGAGAATGGGCATCATGTTTTCAGGTTGTACGTCTGTACATTCCTACATCTGTATGTCCGTACGTGTCTCCATCCCATCCTTGTGAACGTGATATTTCAAGAGAAATTCACTTGAGGCGTTCAAGTGAATTTCTTTAAATTCGGCACAAACATCCACTTGGACTTAAAAATCAATTAATTAGAATTTTGTGGTCAAAGGTCACAGTGACCTATGTTATGTTCACCTAATATTTTTTTGGCCATAACTCAAGAATTGACCTCCTAGTGAATCATGGAGAGAGAAGAGCGAGTGCTGCAGCTGATCTTTGAATGGAAATGTTTTGTTTTTTCTCTCAGTGAAAGGTGTGAAACAGAAGGGGGAGGGGCTTCTGACTCTGAACCACACTTCCAAAACTGTTGACGTCCCCGCCTCCCTGCCAACGCCACCCCACAACAATCAGGAAGAGATCAGGTAAACACCGCCCACTGACCGAGGTGGAATGTAACTAAGAACGTTTACCCAGCTCCTGTGCTTGACACTCCTGGGACCCTGTGTCCTCATATGAGGACGTCACTTTCTGGGTTCCCTGCTCCTTTCTACTTCATTCAGCTCAACTGAGACCTGTCACTCTCGTTCATGGACTTCTAGTGCCATCTAGTGGAAGCAAAAGCATAATACAGTAATCCATGTGAAAACAAGATGGCACGACACCAAACTGGACCAGTTCCAAAACCTTTTCTTCAATCACATTTTATGGTTGAAAATTGTTTATTTATGATTGATAATATTTGTAGTTTTATATCACAACACGTAAACAATCTTACTGACAGTAACAAGCTAAGACGCTGTTCATTAGGAAGTACTCGTTTGAGGACATTGAGACTTATTTATCGTCTCATTTGAGGACATTGAAACTTATTTATTGTCTTGTTTGAGGACCTTGAAACTTATTTATCGTCTGGTTTGAGGACATTGAGACTTATTTATTGTCTCGTTTGAGGACATTGAAACTTATTTATTGTCTCGTTTGAGGACATTGAAACTTATTTATCGTCTCGTTTGAGGACATTGAGGCCAGTCAGGGGAGACACAGAGTATAGACGTTAGATGTTTACATGTGTTGTTGAGATAAGCCGTGTTGAGACATGTTCCTGATTAAAAGTTGTGGGGGACATGCTGAAAAGATGAATTTATATTCAGTATCAGTCACTACTTCTTGGTCTTCTTCTGTTGCTTCTTCTTCTCTTTCCTCTTCTTCATCTGTTTCCCTGCTCGTCTTTCTTCTTTATGCCTTTTCCTCCTCAGGGTCCAGGACACGTGTGGTCGTGACAGCCCGGATGGTTTCATCCCGTCCTCCTCTCCAGAGAGCGTGGCAGACATGGAGGTCAGCAGGTACCCCGACCTGTCCTTCATCAAACTGGAGCCACCCTCTCCCTGCTCGTCACCTACAATACCCATGATGCCCTGTGCCTGGGGCAAAGGTCAGTAATCAGCAAAGTGTTTCCTGCTCCGTGTGATAGCTATCACACAGTAACATCAGAAAGATGGAGTCCTTAAACAAGTATTCATATATTATACTTAAATACTGCAGTAGTACTCTACATGTTACTGCAGTAGTACTCTACATGTTACCGCAGTAGTGCTCTACATGTTACTGCAGTAGTGCTCTACATGTTACTGCAGTAGTACTCTACATGTTACTGCAGTAGTACTCTACATGTTACCGCAGTAGTGCTCTACATGTTACTGCAGTAGTGCTCTACATGTTACTGCAGTAGTACTCTACATGTTACTGCAGTAGTACTCTACATGTTACCGCAGTAGTGCTCTACATGTTACTGCAGTAGTGCTCTACATGTTACTGCAGTAGTACTCTACATGTTACTGCAGTAGTACTCTACATGTTACCGCAGTAGTGCTCTACATGTTACTGCAGTAGTGCTCTACATGTTACTGCAGTAGTACTCTACATGTTACTGCAGTAGTACTCTACATGTTACCGCAGTAGTGCTCTACATGTTACTGCAGTAGTGCTCTACATGTTACTGCAGTAGTACTCTACATGTTACTGCAGTAGTACTCTACATGTTACCGCAGTAGTGCTCTACATGTTACTGCAGTAGTGCTCTACATGTTACTGCAGTAGTACTCTACATGTTACTGCAGTAGTACTCTACATGTTACCGCAGTAGTGCTCTACATGTTACTGCAGTAGTGCTCTACATGTTACTGCAGTAGTACTCTACATGTTACTGCAGTAGTACTCTACATGTTACCGCAGTAGTGCTCTACATGTTACTGCAGTAGTGCTCTACATGTTACTGCAGTAGTACTCTACATGTTACTGCAGTAGTACTCTACATGTTACCGCAGTAGTGCTCTACATGTTACTGCAGTAGTGCTCTACATGTTACTGCAGTAGTACTCTACATGTTACTGCAGTAGTACTCTACATGTTACCGCAGTAGTGCTCTACATGTTACTGCAGTAGTGCTCTACATGTTACTGCAGTAGTACTCTACATGTTACTGCAGTAGTACTCTACATGTTACCGCAGTAGTGCTCTACATGTTACTGCAGTAGTGCTCTACATGTTACTGCAGTAGTACTCTACATGTTACTGCAGTAGTACTCTACATGTTACCGCAGTAGTGCTCTACATGTTACTGCAGTAGTGCTCTACATGTTACTGCAGTAGTACTCTACATGTTACTGCAGTAGTACTCTACATGTTACCGCAGTAGTGCTCTACATGTTACTGCAGTAGTGCTCTACATGTTACTGCAGTAGTACTCTACATGTTACTGCAGTAGTACTCTACATGTTACCGCAGTAGTGCTCTACATGTTACTGCAGTAGTGCTCTACATGTTACTGCAGTAGTACTCTACATGTTACTGCAGTAGTACTCTACATGTTACCGCAGTAGTGCTCTACATGTTACTGCAGTAGTGCTCTACATGTTACTGCAGTAGTACTCTACATGTTACTGCAGTAGTACTCTACATGTTACCGCAGTAGTGCTCTACATGTTACTGCAGTAGTGCTCTACATGTTACTGCAGTAGTACTCTACATGTTACTGCAGTAGTACTCTACATGTTACCGCAGTAGTGCTCTACATGTTACTGCAGTAGTGCTCTACATGTTACTGCAGTAGTACTCTACATGTTACTGCAGTAGTACTCTACATGTTACCGCAGTAGTGCTCTACATGTTACTGCAGTAGTGCTCTACATGTTACTGCAGTAGTACTCTACATGTTACTGCAGTAGTACTCTACATGTTACCGCAGTAGTGCTCTACATGTTACTGCAGTAGTGCTCTACATGTTACTGCAGTAGTACTCTACATGTTACTGCAGTAGTACTCTACATGTTACCGCAGTAGTGCTCTACATGTTACTGCAGTAGTGCTCTACATGTTACTGCAGTAGTACTCTACATGTTACTGCAGTAGTACTCTACATGTTACCGCAGTAGTGCTCTACATGTTACTGCAGTAGTGCTCTACATGTTACTGCAGTAGTACTCTACATGTTACTGCAGTAGTACTCTACATGTTACCGCAGTAGTGCTCTACATGTTACTGCAGTAGTGCTCTACATGTTACTGCAGTAGTACTCTACATGTTACTGCAGTAGTACTCTACATGTTACCGCAGTAGTGCTCTACATGTTACCGCAGTAGTGCTCTACATGTTACTGCAGTAGTGCTCTACATGTTACTGCAGTAGTACTCTACATGTTACTGCAGTAGTACTCTACATGTTACCGCAGTAGTGCTCTACATGTTACCGCAGTAGTACTCTACATGTTACCGCAGTAGTGCTCTACATGTTACCGCAGTAGTGCTCTACATGTTACTGCAGTAGTACTCTACATGTTACTGCAGTAGTGCTCTACATGTTACTGCAGTAGTACTCTACATGTTACTGCAGTAGTTGGTGGTTCAGTGTGAACAGAGCTGTTTTTCGTTGTATTTGTGACGAGAGGAAGATTAAAACATTTAAATAATTATTTTCTCACCTGTTTCCTGTGTGTGTGTGTGTGTGTGTGTGTGTGTGTCCAGGTTCTGCAGTGAAACAGGAAGTGAAGTCGGAGCCCAACCACCAGGGTCCTCCCTCCTGCTCTAACACAGACCTGGTTACCATAGCGATAACCCTGAACCCCGTTGCCGCTCAGGTAAGCCTCTCTCGCTCCCTCTCTGTTTGTTGAGTCACCAGTGGCCCTTCCCATCTGATGACATCACTGTGTCCACAGAACACTGCAGGTGTGATGGCGGCGGTGGCGGAGCTGCTGCGGGTCCCCGTCCCCATCGACTACCAGCTGATTCGACCCGCCGGCCCCGAGCGTAGCTCTCTGGCGCTGCTGGCCGGAGTCCGAGTGCCGCTCACACAGGTGGGAGATAATACTGCAACGTATCAAGTTTTTATCGTCATCGCCATGTCAACCACGAAAATCGTCAACGGTGTTTTTGTGTTCAGCATTGGTAGGGGTCTGCTGCCCTCTGCTGGACACTGAAACACATCACACCTCTTCACTTTGTTTTCTGAGTTAAAGATCAAAGATAAACACATAGTGAATGAATAGTGTCATCTACATATGACGCAGTTAACACACATACACACACAAACACACACTCTGTGTACAACATTGTGTTTTGTGTTTGTTTTATAAAAGTCACTGTTCTAAACATCATGTAAGCAACAGTTTGATGTGTCGTCAGGGTTCAACAGGCAGCAGACAGCAGAGACCTCCACCTCCTCCTGCTGCTGCCAGGCCTCAGTGCTGCAGCTGCTGCAAGGTGCTGCTGGGAAACGGAGTCCGCATCGTCAAGGAGCTCAAACAGGTTGGATACAGGACACCACTTTTTGACACAGAGAGTAAAACTTCAAAGATGGAAGACAGGAAGTCACTGTGTGTGTGTGTGTGTGTGTGTGTGTATGTGTGTGTGTGTGTGTGGGTGTGTGTGTGTGTGTGTGTTACAGGAGGGTCAGTCCAGACCAGGATCCAGCTTGGTGTTCTGCAGTCCAAACTGCTCTGCACTCTACACATCTGACCTGCAGAGCACAACAGCTGGAACCAAGGTAAGTGACACACCCTCACTCCCGGGGAATCTAAATGAAGTGACACACCCTCACTCCCGGGGAATCTAAATGAAGTGACACACCCTCACTCCCGGGGGATCTTAAAGGGAGTGACACACCCTCACTCCCGGGGAATCTTAAAGGGAGTGACTTGAGGTTCTTCATGTTGCTGCGCTGTTCATGATGTCATGGCGTGCAGTCGATGACAACATAATGTTTGTCTATCCGCAGGCTGCAGTCCCCGTCATGCTGGCCAGCTCTGATCGTCCTCCTCCCAGCAGAGTGCAGCACCAGTATACCAGTAACATGTCCTCCATCACCGTCCACTCCCTCCTCAACACTCCCTCCTCACATCCACCCACATCCTCCTCCTCCTCCCCACCACTTTCTTTCCCCACTGCCTCTGCCATTACCATGGAGACCAGGCCTCGCATGGACAGCCTCAAGGTGGGTATGGTTACTGACTTGCATATCAAATGTAATAGCAGAGTAGGTGATTGACTGACTGTGTGATTGATTGACAGGTGAAGGTGAAGCTGAAGCCCCGCCCCCGGGCGGTATCAGGTGTAGAGGACTTGCTTTTGTCTCGTCATGGCAAGAGGATGAAGGGTTGCCGTTGGACACGCTGGAGCTTGAACATCACACTGAGCAGGTTAGCCTGTTAGCATCACACTGAGCAGATTAGCCTGTTAGCATCACACTGAGCAGGTTAGCCTGTTAGCATCACACTGAGCAGATTAGCCTGTTAGCATCACACTGAGCAGGTTAGCCTGTTAGCATCACACTGAGCAGGTTAGCCTGTTAGCATCACACTGAGCAGATTAGCCTGTTAGCATCACACTGAGCAGGTTAGCCTGTTAGCATCACACTGAGCAGATTAGCCTGTTAGCATCACACTGAGCACGTTTGCATTGTCCTTTGTGTGTCTCTTTTTACTCAGGGGTCCATGCATCCCCAACGAGGCTGTTGCCATGCCAACAGAAGAGGCAGTGGATGTGCTGTTGAAAAAGTTGGGGACCTGTCTACGTCCTGATCCACCACCCAAAGACCAGCGGAGGTGCTGCTTCTGTAACCAACAGGGTGATGGACGGACAGACGGACCAGCCAGACTGCTTAACTTGGACCTGGACCTGTGGGTGAGTCTGCTCTTATAGTCTGGACCTGCAGAGTGTCTCTGGTGATAGTCTGGACCTACAGAGTGTCTCTGGTGATAGTCTGGACCTACAGAGTGTCTCTGGTGATGAATAACCTGTCTGTCTCTGTCTGTCTCAGGTCCACCTGAACTGTGCTCTGTGGTCCAGTGAGGTGTACGAGACTCAGGCCGGCGCTCTGATCAACGTGGAGCTGGCTCTGAGACGAAGTCTGACTCTGCGCTGTGCTCACTGTCAAAAGACCGGAGCCACAAGTGGCTGTAACCGCCTCCGCTGCACCAACACCTACCACTTCACATGCGCACTGCAGGCCCACTGCACCTTCTTCAAGGTACAACACACACACACACACACACACACACACACACACACACACACACACACAGGCCTTGTTGACACGTAGGGATGCTGTATATACTCTGCTCTGTGTCCTCCAGGATAAGACCATGCTCTGTCACCTCCATAAGCCCAGGACGGTTCCTCTCAGTGGGGACAGGTCCTCCAGCGGCTCCCCCTCCTCCACTCCAGGGCTGCCTTCCGACCCCGCTGCAATGGCCCTCAGTGACCCGTACGACTGCGAGCTGCGATGCTTCTCCGTGTTTCGGCGAGTGTTCGTACAGCGGGACGAGGCGCGGCAGATCGCTGCAGTGGTGCAGCGCGGCGAGCGTCAGCACACCTTCCGAGTCGGCAGCCTTTTGTTCCGCGCTGTCGGCAGGCTCCTCCCTCAGCAAATGAAGGCCTTCCACAACAAGACTGCCATCTTCCCCATCGGTTACCACGCCAACCGCATCTACTGGAGCATGCGCCACAGCAACAGGTAAACCTCTGCTGCCATTCAGCTTCTGTTTCTGTGAGCAGCTCGTTAGAACTCCCACAGTGCTTTGCTTCCGTACCGTCTCATGATTATTACTTAGCATTTAACCATAGTCGTGCTACTCCAGAGAGGATCTCTCCTCTGATTGGTCCTCAGTTTTAACTGCTGACATCATCATTGTGCTCCTGTAGACGCTGTAAGTACATGTGCTGCATTGAGGAGCAGGAGGGCCAGCCGCTGTTCAAAGTCAAGGTGGTGGAGAAGGGATACGATGACCTCATACTGACCGGACCAACACCCAAAGGTAAACACCACCTGTGCACTGTTACCTGTACAGACAGGAAGTAGAACCATCAGACGCTCAGCAGCCAGAGGAAGTACTCAGATCCTTTAGTAAAAGCAAGTACCACACTCTAAAAGTACTCCATTACAAGTAGAAGGATGTGTAAATATTACTGTCATGGTAACCACACAGTCTGTGCACACTGCAGTCATTCTGGCTGGACGCTTGTTCGCTGTCCCGTCTGTCTCCTGGTGCAAACACAGACCCCTGATCGTAGTACGTCACCAAACACGGACACATGGAAGTCTGCAGCCGCCCACGTCCAGGGCTGAAGAACAAGCACATTGTTCTCAACCCATGAAGAAACAGTTAGTCTTGTCACGGCTCGGGCGCCATGACAACCAAAAGTTTCTCAGCATTCAGCTCATGATGCATAAGACCCGTTCTAATGGGGCAGGCGACCAATCAGAACGATAACCTGTAACCATGACGATCTGAAAAATACGAACATTAAAGTGACTGCAGCTGACTGAGAAACATTCAGTACCAAAGTAGAGTCAAAGGAAATCTGTACAGCACAGCTAACAGAGCAAATGTACTCCTGTGTGTGTGTGTGTGTGTGTGTGTGTGTGTCTCCAGCTGTGTGGGACCAGATTCTGGAACCAGTATCACAGATGAGATCCTCCAGTGGGACTCTGAAACTCTTCCCAGTTTACCTGAAAGGAGAAGATCTGTTTGGTTTGACCACGTCTGCAGTGACCAGGATCATCGAGTCTGTACGTCTCTCACACACACACGCGCACACACACACACACACACACACGTCGAGATATTAAGCCCAGACTCATACTAACCTCTGCTCTGTGTGTGTGTGTGTGTGTGTGTGTGTGTAGCTGCCAGGTGTGGAGACCTGTGAGCGTTACACCTTTCGTTATGGCAGGAACCCTCTGATGGAGTGGCCCCTGGCCTTCAACCCGTCTGGCTCGGCCCGCTCTGAACCCAAAGCCTGCCAGGCCAAGAGGTAACACCACCACACTGACCACGTTTACGTGCTCAGAATATTCCAGTGTTTGTCCTTATTCTGGAAAAGACAATATTCCTACGGCGCCGTTTACATGTCCAATGACAACAATAATTCCACTAATATTCCTGTGTACACACAGCTGTGTCCTAAAGTCCAGCTCAGAACAAAGATCCGCCACAAGACCAAACCGTTTTAAAAAAGTGTCAGCGGTGTGAACTGGCCGGTCTGAACTCGACTCAAGCCGGCTGATGGTGTCACCTGACACTCAGCTGGTCAAATGGCCGGCAGCTGGTTTTAGAGCACGTCACCTGTTTCAACAGCCAATCAGCTTGTAGTGAAGTCAGCTGGTCAAGTCAAAATGGCCACAGACGGCGTGTTGGCTTGCTGCAGCAGGTGCTCCGTCCCCACAGAGCCCTCTGTTTCTGTCCTCACAGTGTGCCGGTGTCAGACGGTGGGTCGCTGCTGCTGCTGGCTGTATGTGCTTATGCCCCGCCCACACACACATTCACATTGACTGATGAATTGGCGCTGGTTATTTATATTATTGTGGCATACTGATTGGGCAGTGCACACATGGCTCTGTACCAGCTCCGTTCACCCTCGTCTTCGCCACAAGACAAGTCATGTTTCATGTGGGGCAAAGTTGTCCTCCATCCTCAGTAACTGGTGCCAGCTGATGGTTTTTATTTTGTCCTTCAGTTTGGATTATTTTAAACTTTAAATCTAACTTTGCTCCACCGCTCTGCTCAACATGATGTACTCTGGGAAAATGTCAAGGAGAGGAAACACCCCTGTTCCAGATGTGATTGCTTCAGACATGTTGGTGTCATCATATTATTAAGTACCAGTCTACCTGTGATGACCACAGCTGTACTAACCAGCTCTAACACAGTGATTTCACACACAGTCTGTTAAACCTGGTCAGGTTTTCACAGCCACATTTACATCATCTTTTCTAATTGGCTGAAAATCAAAAGTTCAAAAATCACACAAGTTTGATCTGAACTGTGGAGGTGTGAGCAGTCGAGCCAGTGAAGGCAGCAGCAGTGCAGGGTCAGTGTGGAGCTGAGGTGAAACTGTGATCCTCGCTGAGCTGCATGTGGGCAGGTGACAGACAAAGTGACAAACTGACCATATCGGCATCTGCAGGTGTTTTTGTAAACAATCTGTCATTGGTATTTTTCTCACATGCTTATTGAACACTTGGGTTTAATTCATTCAGTCTCGTCCACAGACTGTGTTTATGTAGTGGACACCAGAGACGAAGACACAACAAGGGCCGAGAGACAAGCTGAGAGACAGAGAGGGACATACTGGTGTCACGTGTTCTCTGCAGGACATGTTCATGTTCTAATGTCCCAAAAAAGACATGTTTTATTTAGCTCTGTTATTTTTATTGTTTAATTACTGTCTTTTGTTTATTCTGGATTTATTGAGTGAAGAATATATTTTTGAATCAGAGACAGAGACGTGCAGAGAGCCGCCTGAAAGAGGCCGAGAAAGAGAAATACATGAAGGAGAAAGAGGAGAGAGAGAGAGATGGAGAGCAATAGGCTGAGTGATGATGTCATGTTATTGGAGGACATGTTGACATGTCACAAAGTCTTAATGTCAGTATGTTATTTCATAATCAACACATGAACTGATCACTGAGAAAACACTGATTTTGAGATAAAGTCAAAAAACAAAAGTAAGTTACTTTTGACATTTTCTGGTAGCTTAGCAGCTACATTTACCCAGTCGCTCGCCAACACTGCAGACGTGCTGTGTAGCATTGCACTGGGACATATATCAGTGTAATTACATGTAGAGGGTTGCACAGATTGAAGCAGAGACAAACATGGTGGGCCTTGTGCTGTCTCTGATACAGCTGGTCCTGGATCAGTTCTGTGAGACTGGTGAGTGACAGATTGTCCTGAACTGTGTCTGTCTCCCTGTCAGACCGAACCCGTTGACCAGCATCGCTCCCAGGTGTCAGGGCTCAGTGGGCTCCATCGTGGGCCTCGTGCCCGGCGTCATCTCTCTGTCTCCAGGAGAGTCGGTAGCCGGGGCTCATCAGGGACGCCACTCCAAGTCGTCCCAGTACCGACGCATGAAGGCCGAGTGGAAGACCAACGTCTACTTGGCCCGCTCTCGCATCCAGGTGAGACACACCTGGACCACAGACTGAACGCTTGACTGCTGACTGAAGGGCCCTCACTGATCAAGTGTGTGTGTGTGTGTGTGTGTGTGCATGCATGCAGGGTCTGGGTCTGTACGCTGCCAGAGACATTGAGAAATGCACCATGGTCATTGAGTACATTGGTACCATCATCAGGAGTGAAGTAGCTAACCGCAAGGAGAGGCTGTACGAGTCTCAGGTAACACACACACACGCACACGCATACAGGAAAAGTTTTCTCAAACATCAGCAGATACTCAGCTGGACTCTGGTCCTGAGGTCTTGGAGGAAAGCGTTCACTTCATGGACCCCCATTATCTCTGCAGAGATATCTCTGTTAATGACATCATCACACGTTGGGTGGGTGAGCTCAGGAGAAGCCATATAAACAGGATGACACACAATAACATAACACACACGACATTACAAATGATGGACATGATATAAGACACAATAACATAACACACACACACACACGACGTAACACACACGACAACACACAATATAACACAAACACATGACATAACATAACACACACACACACACACACATGACAACACACATGACATAACACCAACACACGAAAAGCTGAGAAAATTGCATTTTTGTCAAAGAGTCATTTTCACAAACAAAATCAATTTCACATTTACATGTTTTGCTTTTTCTCATTTCCTGACATCAGTTTCAATTGTATAAATAATGATAATACTACTAATGTGTCTGAGGTATAGCGGAGGAACACGTTGTCATGTTGTCGTCATGGAGATCCCATTTCGTCCCACCAGACTTGTTTGTTTCTTTGTCCAATCAGATTCAGGTTGTTGATGAAAACAGGAAGTGTCTGAGTCCATTAACATCACCACAGCTCAGCAACTATACACTTTTCTGTCTGCACCATCATTTTTGTGCAGTTTCTAACAGGTCTTCTTCTTCATTTGTTTTTGGACACGGCAGTGCTGTTCAGTTTCACAAGATGTGTAACAAGATGTGTAACAAGATGTGTAACAAGATGTGTAACAAGATGTGTAACAACGCCCCCGTCTTCTAACAGTGAAACACAGATAGCAGGAATATCTCGTCAGTGGCGGCGTTAGTGTTGAAAGAGAAAAATATCTACTGAGCAGTATTGGTAACGTTACGTTAAAAAAGTAATTAGTTATAGTTACTAATTACTTTCCCCAGAAAGTAACTGAGTTAGTAAATGAGTTACTGCACTAGAAAGGTAACTAATTACCTGGAAATGTAACTATAGCGTTACTTTTTTATAAAATACTCAAATATGTCAAACTGCTTGGACACGCCCCCTTAACGGAACTGTATGTAATGAAACTCAACATTGAATATGTTAAATGAATGAAACTGACACTTAATAGAATAAATCATTACTATAAGACACTGTACACTTATCTACACTTCACTGTGTGTATATGTGTGTGTATAACAGCCTCCATTAATCGCACAATTTCAGTGTGAAAGGTCTCATTGACTGACCGTCAGCTGTGTGTATGTGGAGGAATGGGGCTGTGGAGACATCCTGCAGTCCGACACACTATCATGAGTTTAAAGGTAGGGTCTGGAGGATTGTCCAGTTGCTGTTTGTAAACACACATTCAAATTTGGCCCCTCCTATCAGGCTCAACTCTCCCGGGTGTACGGAGCCCGGAGGTACGGAAGAAGGCTTCACAGAAGAGGTTCAGGCAAGGCTCGCGCTGGTGCACGCTCGGGCACGGCACCTGCGCTCTCTCATTGGCTGGGGAAATCTCCGCCCAGAAGCGGTCCGAGCTCACAAAACATCAAAATACAGTTAAAGGGCAGGAGCTCTGCAAACAGAGTCACCACCACACATGAGTAGAAGCCCATAGGTGATGATTAAGCAGGATTTCATTTGTATAAGTCTATGTTTTGTTTTGTTTGAAAATCCTCCAGATCCTAACTTTAAATAACACATTAGACGGATATACAGTGCCCTCCAAAAGTATTGGAACAGTGAGGCCAATTCCTTTATTTTTGTTGTAGACTGAAAATATTTGGGTTTGATATCAAAAGATGAATATGGGACAAGAGATCAACAGTTCTGCTTTTATTTCCAGGTATTTACATCTGGATCTGATACACAACTTAGAAGATAGCACCTTTTGTTTGAACCCACCCATTTTTCATGAGAGCAAAAGTATTGGAACATGTGACTGACAGGTGTGTTTTGTTGCCCAGGTGTCTCCCAATTACATTGATTATTCAAACAATAAATAGCACTGAATGTCTGAGCTCAGTTTCAGATTGGGTACGATATGTTTTGCCTGTGCAGACTGCATTTAGAGGTGGAACCAACATGAAAACCAGAGAGCTGTCTATGGGTGAAAAAGAAGCAATTGTGAATCTGAGAGAAGATGGACAATCAATCAGAGCCATTGCACAAACATTGGCCATAGCCAGTACAACCATTTGGAATGTCCTGAAGAAGAAAGAAACCACTGGTGTACTAAGCAACAGACGTCGAACAGGTACACCAAGGAAAACATCAGCAGTTGATGACAGAAACATTGTGAGAGCTGTAAAGAAAGACCCTAAAACAACTGTTAGTGACATCAGCAACAACCTCCAGAGGGCAGGAGTGAAGGTATCACAATCTACTGTTCGCAGAAGACTTCATGAACAAAAGTACAGAGGCTACACCAGAAGATGCAAACCACTCATTAGCAAGAAGAATAGGAAGGCCAGGCTGGAATTTGCCAAAAGGTACAGAGATGAGCCTCAAAAATTCTGGGAAAAAGTTTTATGGACTGATGAGACAAAGATTAACTTTTTCCAAAGTGATGGAAAGGCAAAAGTTTGGAGAAAGAAAGGATCTGCTCATGATCCCAAACATACAAGCTCATCTGTGAAACACGGTGGAGGTAATGTCATGGCTTGGGCTTGCATGGCTTCTTCTGGGACGGGCTCTTTCATCTTCATTGATGATGTAACACATGATGGCAGCAGCAAAATGAACTCAGAAGTCTACAGAAACATTTTGTCTGCTAATTTAAAGAAAGATGCAACCAAACTGATTGGGAGATCCTTCATCATGCAGCAAGATAACGACCCAAAACACACTGCCAAAACAACAAAGGAGTTCATCAGGGGCAAGAAGTGGAAGGTTTTAGACTGGCCAAGTCAGTCTCCAGACTTAAACCCAATAGAGCATGCATTTTACCTGCTGAAGAGGAGACTGAAGGGAGTAACCCCCCAAAACAAACAACAACTGAAAGAGGCTGCGGTGAAAGCCTGGAAAAGCATCACAAAAGAAGAATGCAAAAGTTTGGTGATGTCAATGGGTCACAGGCTTGATGCAGTTATTGAAAGCAAAGGATTTGCAACTAAATATTAAGTCTCATTCACTTTAATCTATTTTAAGTTTATATGTTCCAATACTGTTGCTCACCTAAAAATTTTGTGTTCCATTACAAATAATGCTATCTTCTAAGTTGTGTATCAGATCCAGATGTAAATACCTGGAAATAAAAGCTGAAATGTTGATCTCTTGTCTCATATTCATCTTTTGATGTCAAACCCAAATGTTTTCAGTCTACAACAAAAGTAAACGAATTGGACTCACTGTTCCAATATTTTTGGAGGGCACTGTAGATAGAGAGAGGTGACGTTCAGAGAGCGAGCTCAAATAAGCAACTCCACTTTAGAAACAAGCCCAAAAGGCCACGACCTGCGACTACCAATATTTGTACAACTGCTACAAAAAACAAGCTCACAGTTGCGGCTAATAAACAGACCTGACATCCCTGCTTGTGTGCTTGTGAATACCCGCCCTACTCTGCCTCTGATTGGTTTATGATGAAATTTTCTTCTCCCTAAGCCAATCATCATCGCTTATGCTTCCCCCTCACCTGCCCTCACCAAAGAAAACAAACTTTAGAGCTCCGCTGAGGAGGAGCTTGTATGGGTGAAAGCTGCCTCAGTAAAGCCAAGTAACAGCGCATTTTATTGTGAGTGACGGTGACGGCGTTATAACGGGGGAGACAGTAACTTCATTGATTACTCGTTACTGAAACAAGTAGCACCAATAGTAATGCTGTTTAGTTATAACACTGTTATTCCCATCATTGTGAATGAGTGAATAAAAAAGTCTGAATCTTTAACTGTAACCTGGGAGAAATGAGATTACACACATCAGGCCAACGTTAGACGTTAATAAAACCATGAAGCCACTTCATCGCTGATCTGAGACCATTTAGCTCCCAGTACAGAACCAGCACACACAGTCACGTTTCCTGATGTGTTACTCTGTGTGTGTGTGTGTGTGTGTGTGTGTGTGTGTGTGTGTGTGCGCGCGCGCAGAACCGTGGTGTGTACATGTTCCGGATCGACAACGACTATGTGATTGACGCCACCATCACTGGAGGACCGGCCAGGTGAGACCAGTTCAAACTGGTTTTAATTCTCAGATCGTTGAGGTTTATTTTGGACGAATAATCTGAACTTCTCTTATCACATGATGTTTATTTATGTCCACCAGCTTTTAGTGAAAATCATGTTGGACTGATGAGTTCAAACTGATCACTGAGCAAAGAAATGAAACCACGGAGTGAATCTTATGCTTGTGTTCTGGTTCTGAGTTGTTTATATCTACACAGGGAGCAGGTCCTCGTCTGCAGAGATCACCATGTTGCTCCGCCATGTTTCTACAGTAGCCCAGAGCAGACAAACTAAAAACTGACTCTAGATAGAGACATTCATGTGTTCACATTCAGCCACTGTAGTTCTCCTACACACTTGGCACATGGGAGAAGTTTCAGCAACATCCCTTGTGATATTTGGACAAAAAAACATCAACAGAAAAAGTCGCTATATTATGAGATTGAGATATTTCTGGGGACAAGAGTTGAGAAAAGTTGAACATTTTCTACAAAAAAAGTTCAAATATTCCAAGAAAAGAAATGTCAAAATGTTTCAGAGCGAAAAGCTTAAATATTCTAAGAATAAAAGTTTTCATGCATCAAGACAAAAATACAACATCACTCAATCTTTTTCCACAAAATACTGTGATTTTGTGGAAAAAGATCGAGTGATGTTGAATACGAGAAAAAAGTTGGAACATTTCAAGAAAAAAAAGTTCAACGTATATTTTTGTAATGTTTCATGAAAAAATGTTAATAATGTCGAAACATTGTAGAGAAAAGAGTTGATAAATTTTTAAGACAACCAAGTTCTAATATTCCAAGAAAAAATAAGGCGGGTAACGTCGAACAGAAGTTGTAGTAGTTCAAGAAAAAATGTCTTTATATATTAAGTCGTGTTTTGAGGAAAAAAAGATATTTCAAGAAATAGGTCTTTTTCATTTACACAAAGTTCAGATATTTAAAGATAATACATTTTGGAAAAAAATTAATGTCAAAAAGAATTGTTTAGTTTTAATATTTTAAGAATAAAAGTCTTCATGTATTTCGACTAAAAAAGTGTTAATATTAAGAAAGTTTTAGAGAAAGAAGTCGTAATATTTCAAGAGAAAAAAATCAAAGCAAAGTTGAACCTTTAGACAGAAATGTTCTCACGCTGGAACCTGACGCGTTTGTTCAGAGTGTTTCCTGGTGTCAGTCAGCTGCTGTGTGTGTTTCTCTGAGGATAATTCAGCTCCTCAACAATCAACACTGAAGGAATTCTAACCAGGAGAAGTTTCAGCTGGTTGTAATCTGTAATCTGTAATCTGTAATCCTCACTGATAGACACCTGAATCCTCCTGAACCTGACACACTGAACCTTTAACATGAGAAAGTTGTAAAGTTGTTTTGTTTTTGAAAGTCGTAGATTTTGTGATTAATGACTCCAGTTACCAGAACAGGAGTGAGTGACCCCTCCCTCTGTGTGTGATTGACAGGTACATCAACCACTCGTGTTCTCCCAACTGCATCACAGAGGTGGTCACTGTGGAGAAGGAGAACAAGATCATCATCAGCTCCTGCAGACGCATCCAGAGAGGAGAAGAGGTACCACAGCCTGTTGTCTCTGTCTCTACACTGCATCCACCTTCCCCTCACTTAATAATAATAATAATAACTTAAATTTATACAGCGCCTTTCAAGACACCCAAGGTCACTTTACAATACATAGTAATGAAACACCAACAGAACAGTACAGTACAACACAAGCAGAACAGAAAAGCAACACAACTATAACCAACAGCAGAAAGCAGAGACACTGTGTGATGGTGCACTGGGCATGAGATGGATTATAGAATTAAAAAGCCATGGTGAACAGATGAGTTTTGAGGGTGGATTTGAAAATGTCCAGTGAAGGGCCGTTGCAGGTTACAGAGGGGAAAGAGCTCCAGAGGGTGGGGGCAGCGACGCTGAAGACCCGGTCACCAAAAGTTTGGAGGCGGGAGTGAGGGATGAAGAGTAGGCTGGAGTCAGAGGAGCGCAGAGATCTGGACGGAGTGTAGGGGTGGAGGAGGTCGGTTATGTACTGTGGGGCGAGGGCGTGGAGGGACTTGCAGGTGAGGAGGAGGATTGTGTAGATTATGCAGGACTTGACCGGGAGCCAGTGGAGATGGATGAGGGTGGGGGTGATGTGCTGCCAGGGCTCGGTGCGGGTGAGGACCCTGGCAGATGAGTTTTGTACATATTGGAGCCTGTCCAGGGTTTTGTTGGGAACCCCGAACAGGACGCCATTGCAGTAGTCCAGGCGGGAAGTGATGAAAGAGGGGATGAGTGTTTCTGCAACTGAGTCGGTGAGTGATGGCCGGAGTCTGGAGATGTTTTCAGGTGGTGGAAAGCAGATTTGGTGTCAGATTTGATGTGGGTCTGAAATGAGAGGGTGGAGTCGAGGATCACTCCCAGGTTGTGGACCTCAGCAGATGGTGAGATGGTGGCACCGTCGATGGTTAGGATTAGATCCCCAACCTTCCCGAGCAGTGCCTTGGGGGCCACAACCATGAGCTCTGTCTTGTTGCTGTTGAGTTTGAGTAGATTACATGTCAACCAGGATTTTATTTCAAGGAGGCAATTGATGAGAGACTGAGGGGGCAGATGGGCAGAGGGTTTTGTACTGATGTAGAGCTGGGTGTCGTTGGCATAAGAATGAAAGTTGAGACCATGGCAGCGGATGATCTTGCCTAACGGGAGCATGTAAATGTTGAACAGAAGGGGGCCAAGCACTGAGCCTTGGGGGACACCGTGATTGACGTAGGCGGGGGAGGAGGAGGAACCAGCATGGGTAACAAATTGTTGTCCTTTCCTTGCGTCTCAGTCCCTCCCATCAAGGATGTAAGGAGAGACGCACCACCGATCAGAGCGACACTGTTTTCATCACAATCAGGCCGAGCTTCACCATCCCCTCTCTCTGATAGGCTGTCTGTCAGAGCCAGATCAAAGGAACGACTCACAGTGATTGGTTATTAGAAAGCCTCATTTATCTAAAAATAATATTCACACTGGTTTATTCAACACGTCAATGGTGACTGACAGGGATTAAAAGTCTGTCCCGCAGAGACTGGCTGAGCTCAGTGAAGCAAATAAAAGGTATACTCCACACCACTGTATTCATCCTGTCATTCATGACCTCATGAAGAGCTGAGTGGTGTCACTCCAAAGGATGTGATGTCATAACTTCTTTATGATTCTGGGCCTCAGCTGTGTCACCTCAACAATGTGACGTCAGTAATAACTGGATCTACTCTCTGTCTGTCTCTCTGTCTCTGTCTGTCCTTCTGTCTGTCTCTCTGTCTCTGTCTGTCCTTCTGTCTGTCTCTCTTGTCTTTGTCTGTCCCTCTGTCTGTCTGTCTGTCTCTCTGTCTGTCTCTCTTGTCTCTGTCTGTCTCTCAGCTGTCTTACGACTACAAGTTTGACCTGGAGGACGATCAACATAAGATCCCGTGTCACTGTGGAGCCGTCAACTGCCGCAAATGGATGAACTGAACACACACACACAGCGCTGTCTCTCTCTCTCTCTGTCTCGGTGCTGGGGCTGGATGTCGATCGCCCATCACCCTGTGGGCGGAGCTACACTTCATATCAGAAGTCAATATAATAATAAAGTGATCAGAGATGATAATGATTGGAGGGAGGGGGTGACTGACAGATAAGGGTCGGGGCTATGTAGAGATATATATGTATATGTATGTATCGGGAGGGCGTGGCTTAAGATGGTCAGGGAGGGGGCGGGGCTTATGACGAGGCTGGTCCTCTGTGTGTATATTGAGTGTAAAAATGACCACAGATGTAAATGTGAGTGTAAACGCCACTGAAATAACCGAATGTCTTCGTCCTCACAGGGAGGGTCATTAAGTTGCACTATAAAAACTATAAAACAAGAAAAACAGACGGATCAATTCCCAGAGAAACTTACTTGACTCCTCCTCCTCCTCCTCCTCCTCCTCCTCCCTGCGTTCTGTTAATTTCCTGTAAAATAAGAGATTTTGTTCTTTTTGTATTTATTACTGAATGAAGCTATTTTCTAAATCCACGGTGAGTTCGAGGTCGGGAGTCGCAGCGTGTAAATATGTGTATCATAAGTTTAAAAGAAAACAAAAAGTTTAGAAATCACTCCACCGAGAGCTACCTTAACATCCTCATCCTCACCTTCATCACCTGCCAATCAGAGCGTCGTTCTGTTTGAGTTTTGAATAAAGTTTCACTGTTTCTGTTTCCTGCCCCGGCGCTGGAGGCGGTGCGTTCTGATTGGACAAAGACTGTGAACAGACTCCCTGAGTGTCGGGCAGGTTTCACCGCGGCCTTCATCGGACTTTAGTTTGTTTGTTTTTCACCCTGCGTTTTGGCTGCAGGCGTCTGTGTGTGGTGGAGTCCTGCTGCCATGTACATATGAGGTTTTATCAGGACTCTGCTGATGTGTACAGTGAGACGATATGAAGCCTTGTTTTTGTTTGTTTGTTTTTTTTATTATTGGAAGTAAACAAAGTGTGACGATGATGAAGATGATGATGTTTTTTGTTTTGGGGAAAAATGTGGAATCTGATTTAGAATCATTTACAGAAAATAAAATATTTTACATCATGACCAAATGACTGTTGCTGTTTGTGTGTGTGTGTGTGTGTGTGTGTGTGTGTGTGTGTGTGAGAGAGAGAGAGAGAGAGAGAGAGGGGTAATTACCTGGCATACCTCCCAGGGCCTGTATTCACAAAGAATCCTAAGACTAAAAGTAGCTCTTAGTGACGTCATTCTAAGAAAAATCTTAGAATTCCTCAAATTCTAAGATTTTTCTTAGAATTTTCCCTTGGTAAGATAAAAGTTATTCACAAAGCATCTTAGGCCTTAAGAGAACTGCTAAGGTGACAAACTGTTAAGAGGAGGGAGGAGGACTTTTAAGAAGCCTAAGAGTGTCTTAAACAGAGAAGATGGCGGAAAGACAGAGAGGAAGGAGAGATATTCTCCGTATATTGAACGACAGTGATTTAATAAGACGCTACCGGCTTGATCGTGCAGGGATAATGTTTGTGGTTGACCTCATCAGGGATGAGCTTACTTTTCCCACCCAGCGTAGAAACGCAATAACGCCTGCTTTGGATTGCAACACGTACCAGCGCTTCTCACACTCATCGCTTGTGCGTAAAAGGAGAGGGAACGACGCATTGATTTGTCGGGCAATGCGCTCCCAAGTCTGCCTCTTGCCTTGTGCCGTGATCCCGGGACCGAATTTCCCTCTTAAAACTCCCTTGTTCTCCTCCACGAGCTGTGCCAACAGCAGGCACTGCTCTTCTGTCCAGTTCGGCTTTCTCGTTATTTTTCCTCCATTTCATTCGTTGTTTTGGTCATTCTGCCAAATCAAACCGCTTTTTACAAGGAGGCCAGCAAACACAGTAACTGCTGACAGCTGAGTCTGCCTCCACCATTAATATCAAATAGATTAAGCAGTAAAATTACCAGCATGGCGAGTAAACATAACAATAAGCAAATCAATACATATATATATATCAATACGGGCCCTGGTCCACAGTTCGGGGGACAGCTGTTTGGAGCAAGTCGGACCGAGAACGCGCACAACGGCCGCTGCACAGGGGGAAAGTCCGCCCGCACGCAAGAGTGGCCGAGGAAGGGTGGGGATGGGTTCCACCCCTCCTCCAGATGTAAGTGGGACAGTGTAAGTTCATTGGCTGTATTTTCTCCCCTGGTCATTGAAAATAAAAACTTTTTTGCTGAGCCTTGCTGTGAAACCACATTATCAAGTTGCTTACACTCATTGGTGTGATGTCACATGTGGGGGCGGGGCCAACATCAAACAGGAAGTTGACCCTGCATAACCCAAGGTGAGGAAAATGGCACAAGAATTTGATTGTTATGATCCTAAGGTTATAAAAATGTTTCGGTCAAGATATTGCAGAAATATTTGCTGGAACTTACACTCCCAGGGTGAGTGGGACAGTACCAAAAGACACTGGTAATGAATGATCAATCCTGCCATAGTTAATCTAGCTAGCCCGACTACCTAGCTAGCAGAACAGCAAGTGTACCCAGCCTACTGGGGATGCATGATAACAGATTATTTCCCAGCATCTAATTTGCAGATTGTCCCCAATTCTTTAAGCCTGTTGTTGATGATAGGATATATAGAGGAACACACACACACACACACACACACACACAATGTTTATAATTTACCATGTTCTATGAAATTTCGACCTGAATTCTGATACATGTATCCATGAATTTTTGTTTTTAGGCATGTTCAATAAAGGTCACAGGCTAAATCATGATCAGATGTGTTGTCCCCAAATTTCACACACAAAAACGATTTTTAGTCAGTTCACAAAAATGGGTATGCCATGCATCCACTGAATATAATCAGATCTTCTTTGCTCCTCAGATGGATGGGTAACATCTTCAGCATTACAGAAATGTATCATATGTTGGGTTATTTTTTTAAATCCATAGCCAGAAATCTCACACAATGCAGAAAACCGAAAACTGTCCCACTCACCCTGAACTCAGCCAACCCTCTGTTTCTCTGCTTTGAATACGTGGAATACAACCTGAAGCATTCCGCCATCAGTTATTTGCAGACAGATTCACTAGTTTTGGATGGAGCGTTGTGTTGAGTTGTAGTGGGATTCATTTTTCAACGATGTGGCCATTTAGTTATCTTTGTTTGCCCTGACAAAGTACCATATGCTGAAGCAGTGAGAAGGGTGGAAGGTCAAAAAAACCCTACGATAGAACAGGTACAGAGGCAAAGAGCTGGGAAACAGGTTATGTTACATGAGAGTGAGGAAGCTGCTCAAGAAGATAGAATCGTGGTTAACAAGAAGACCTTTCTAGCTTTTGGGGTAGAGGCAGCTTGGAAGATAAAAATGGTGGCCAAAAAGAAATCAGATGCAGCACGAGAGGTAGCGTCAGCTGCTGAAAGACTGATGGGGATATCAGGAATAAATCCACAGGAGTTATGGGAGTTCACATACTCTAATGAGTCCAAGTCCTAAACACAAGCCAGTGAGTGGAAGCCAAAACTTGACAGAAGAGGTGCTTGACGATGAAATGATACGTGAAGAAGAAGAAGATGATGACTATTAAACTCCTTGTGCTGATGTTCCTCCAGTGGAATGCTAGAAGTCTAATAGCCAATGGACAAGAACTTAAAAAGTTTGTAGACACCTTTAAGGAGTTGCCAGAAATAATATCCATACAAGAAACTAAAGCTAAAACCATGCTTGCACTTCGTCATTCCAGGGTATGTTTGTGAAAGAAAGGACAGAAGAGACAGGAGTGGAGGAGGGTGTGCTACGTTTATAAAGCTAGGAATACAATATCAAAGGGAAACAATTAATACAAATTCAGAATGCGTGGTTATTGAGATTTGGACGGGTGCAGGGAACATCAGCATTGTGAACATGTATAATCCCCCAGATAATAAGCTCGAAATGAATGTTTAACTAACTGAACCATTAATCTGGGTAGGGACTATAATGCGCACAGTGCATTGTGGGGAAGTAGGCTTCATAATGTTAATGGGCAGATAACGGAGGATTTTATAGATAAGCATAACCTAGTAGTGATGAATGATGGCAGGCCAACCTGGTTTAGAACTAACAAAAAATCACAATCTTGCATTGATATCACACTGGCTTCAACTCAATTAGCACAAGTGGGGAGTGGGATATAATGGATGGATGCACACTGGGGAGTGATCACACACTAAGTTTGAGCAGATCTGGTAGGATATTAGTGAGGAGCCTCAAGAAAAGCCTAGTTGGAGCTAAATGGGATGAGTTTGAAGAAAAGCTAGAAGGAAAAGTGGGGGATGTAATTATGGAGAAGGGTAGATGAGTGGTTTAAATCAATATGTGAGATGATAAACACAGTAGCTTTAGAGACAATACCAATGAAGAACACTGAAAGGAAAAAAAACAATAGTTCCCTGGTGGACTGAAGAATGTAACCGAGCAATTCGAGCGCGTAACAAGGCGTACAGACAACTCAGGAAACATCCAATGAACAATATGCGATTCAGTACAAAAAGTTAAGAGCAATGGCTAGAAGGGCAGTTAAAGAAGCACAAAAAAAAAGCTGGCAAGAAGTTTGAAGCACAATAGGGCCTCAGACAAGTGTGACTCAGGTCTGGGGGCTCATTCATAAAATGAAAGGCGCATTTAAGCAGACAAATATACCAGTTCTACACGACAGCAGTGAAGTTGCAGTAAATAACAAAGACAAGGCAAATATGCTAGGTAAAACAAATCCAATCCAATCTGGATCAGATTTGAGCCCAGGGAAGGATGGCTTGACATATAAGATGCTGGCGCACTCCAGTGACATGTTTTTGGAAGAAATATTAGCACTAATCAACACAGTATGGGAAGAAGGAAACCTTCCCAAGGAATGGAAAAATTCAGTAATAGTCCCAATACTAAAACCAGGTAAGGATCATAGAGGCCAATAGCCCTCACCTCTGTAGTTTGTAAAGTAATGGAGCATATGGTAACAGATCAGCTGATGCACACTTCAGAAAAGAAAGAGTACTTTGAGTCACATCAAAGTGGGTTTAGGTCGAGGAGATTGACAATGGACTCTGTGTTAAAATTAGACTTTGATGTAAAGAAGGCTCTAGCCAATAAAGAATCTGTAGTAAGTGTTTTCTTAGATACAGAAAGAGTGTATGACACACTATGGAAAGAAGGACTTATGATAAAGCTTTATAAAGCAGGAATAAAAGGAAGAATGTTTAACTGGATTAAAAACTTTTTATGTGATAGAACAATCCAAGTAAGAGTAGGCACAGTTATGTCAGATGTGTATAAAGTAGAAAATGGCACTCCCCAGGGACCTGTAATTAGTCCAGTGCTATTTAACATCATGGTGAATGATATGTTCTGCAATTTTAAGGGAAATCATGGAGTGTCCCTATTCGCAGATGATGGGGTCATTTGGAAAAGGGGAAGAAACCTTTCATATATCCTTGAACAAACTCAGAAAACACTAGATAGGGTAACTGAATGGGCAAATGAATGGGGTTTAAAATATCAACAGAAAAATCAAAGTATATAATATTTGGATTCAAAAGAAAGGTCCCGAGCACTGTTTCATCTTTGTATAACACCAACACAGAGAGAGTGAGGTGTTTCAAGAAAGACTGACATGGCACACACATACTGAAAAAACAATAAGCAAATGTGTTATTAAAAGTTATCAATGTGATGCGGTGTTTGGCAGGCGCTAGCTGGGGATCTGAAATGGCAACCCTCATGACAGTATATAGGGCCATGATTCCATCAGTGCTCGACTATGGATGTCTAGTATATGGGTCAGCAGCACCAACACTGTTGGCTAAGCTAGATATGCTACAAGCTAAAGCTCTGAGAGTTTGCAGTGGAGCAGTGAGGACAACTCCAGTGTCAGCTCTACAGGTTGATCGAGGTGAAACAAGTCTTGGGTTAAGGAGGACAACATCAACATTGCACTACTGGGCAAAATAAAAAGCAAATGGACCAAACCTTCCAACTGAGTGTCTTATGGAACAGCACTGGGAGTTTACTGGTAGAAATACAAAGCAAAGTTTTGTGAACTCC